ATCAATCAGCACAGCTTACCTGCTTTTCAAGACTGTTTTCTCCTGAAGATACCACCTTACTTAGCCTGAACTTGTGTTAGGCATGCAACTTTGGCTGCTCTATTTGTACAGAACTGTCTGTTTTAGGGAGAAAGAGACTGAAGCAAACCAAGGACCCATACCTAAAGCTATCCATATTTAAGCAGCTTGGCAGCTTGGCATCTGCTCTCTAGTAATGAGCCTGAAAAGAGCTACACAGGTGACATTCATGTTTAGGATATATGGCTCAGATTTTCAGGGCAAGTTTAGTTCATTTCGTTTGCACAGTGTAGGCTTACTGCTATCCACACAAGCTGTATGGAGCTGGGACCAGGGCCCCAGGGCTAGATTGGCCCCACTGTAACCTACAGGTTAGGGCAATCTCTGTCAGGGTTTTCTAATTTAAACCTACTCCATGCACCTATATGTTTGAGGAAAAAGTGCCCAACCTGGACTTTTCAGGCAGGAAGACTGTATTACACTTACTAGTGTCAATATCTCATGGAATTATCTAATACAGAATAACCAGGTGTTCTTTTGCATCATTAACCAAACACTAGATAAATCTTCATTAATATATACACATATTAGAGACAGAGGAAACTGGCAAATTTGCAGAGTTGGACCTTGCCATTCCCATCTCTGCAACTAATGAAAGTTAAGAGGATAGAAGAGAAAGTGAAAAATAATTAAGAAGCTGTGTGTAAAACCATCAGTTTGACAGACACCTGTGAAAGGAACTGGCAGTCTCCAACCAGATTTCTGTGGACTAACCAGAATCTCTGTAGTGAGTTAGAAAACTCTATGCTGCACAAAGGTCCTATGATTTCTGGACATAGGAAAAGTGAAAGGTTAGTCTTTCATTCCCAGCTTATGCAATAGGTCAGGCTCTTCTCCCTCCCAGGCAAACCACACATCCTCTAATTCCCACACCTGAACTACACGATGTTGTTACAAAATCTGATACTTGTAAAAATGTTTTCAGCTCTTAATTTCATGACTCACAGGATTGCAAAACTGGTCAATTTATCTGAGATATCTGTAGATAGCTGGAAAACCTTGGGTAAAACTTTAGATTTGAGTCACAGCCAGTTCCCAGCTACAGGACTACGCAAGGCAGCATCCTCTGCAGCCAATGCCTCCAGCTAACATCTCTAAACATTCACCTAAGTGGGCACAGTGTCCATCAGGGCATACTTTTATAGATGCTGTTCTTATCACTGCAGGTACAGAGTATTGTTAACTTCTCTGAATTTCTATATTTATGATGCCATGTGAATTCAAGCTCAATTTGGGCTCCTGCCCACATTTTTAGTAATCTTGCCCATTTTCTTGGCAGCAACACAGTCTATCAAACTCAAGTCTGTTCTGAAAATCTTCCATGAAGATTATGTTTTCTTTGCTATTTTATGTGAGACACTGTCACCACATTCTCAATAATTCCTCACATATCATATCCATACTTTCAATCAACCCTTTCTGCCACTTTTTGGGACACACTACAGACATCAGTTTGCAGCCATTTCAAGTAGCCTTTGGCTGTTCATGGAACATACACAGTACATCCAACATAAGTTCCAGGGTGATTCCCTGTCCCAGACTCCAGGTGGATGGAGCACTGTGCAGATCACACCACGTGCAGAAGTGGCTCCTGTTTGACAGTCCTGTACAAACCTCTGCTCACTGCAGAACTATACAGCAAGGGATCGCTGGAAGTTGTTTGGTTGAATGCCTTGCTCAAAGCTATGTCCCTTCTCAGAGCTTCTTCGTGACCTTTTCCAGCTGAGTTTTGAATATTCCCACAGATGGAGATTCCACTGCCAAGAGTGGCATTCCTGTGGCCATTTCACCTACAATGATATCAAATGAGAACACACACAGACTATTTTCAAAATTGACTTTATATGACACTTTCATTGCTTGTGGTAGCAATTAAAAGCAGCATATGAATAATTAGCATGTCTGGGATTAAACATTAAGCTTTTGGAACTGAAATAATTCAAGTATTCATTGTAATTCTAGTCAATGTATGAAAGTGCACAAAAAGCAATGGAAAATAAAGGAAAACAATTCATAGAATATTCTTGTCTTCTGTGACTCTTTAGCTGAATAAAAATGGCTTTCATGCAAAGAAGTCCTTCCTTTTTATCTTATTTCTAGCTTCCTTTATTTAAATCCCCTTCCCTACTTTTCCACTCTGCTACATTTTTTTCTAATTAAATTTCACATCTTCAGTAAAGTAATTATAATGCAGACAGCTTTTAGTGGCACAATCAATTCTATTTTAGTTTTAATCCAACAAGAATGAACAGCTTTAATGTTGTGCGATTTAAATGTAGGGAAATAATCAGCCAGAAGCAAGTCAGTCTCTTCTTTCCCAGACATTTGTTATTTTTGCAATGTATGGAGATTACATATTTCTGTTTTCCCATTTCCTATTAAAAATTTGTTGTAAACAGATTTCACTCTGAATAGATCCTAAATGTTGCTTGTTTTTAAGTGCAACATTAAGTCACAGTACACATACACATTATCAGACACTTGTTTTCAGACAGGAAGCTAACAGCCATCACCACCACATGTTATAGTATCGCCAGGAGAAAAGGCAGCTGTTCCCACTGCCTGGTAATAAAAAACAATTTTCTTGCAAGACGGGGTGTAGGAGATATCTTTGGGAGGATGGGAAATGTGCAATCAACCCTCATTATTATTCCACTTGCCTCTTTGTGGCTGATTCCTCTCCCTTTTTCTCCCCACTGATTACAGGAGTCATACGCTCAATATACCCTCTTTCCTCCTTGTTTGTCATGCTTTCTCCACACCCAGCAGGTAGATCCAAACTGGCCAGATCCAGCAGGTGGATTTACTGAAACTTTTTCCTCAAATCAAGCATGTAACAGGACACTAAAGGGTTTTCTTCATTCTCTACCAGGCTGCCTACAAACAAATCTCTCCACTGTCCATGGTATCTGCAGAGAAACTGATTGCCTTTAAGCTTTCTCTCTATGTGTTCTTGGATTGCAAGCAGTTTTCTCTATACCTCTCTATGGGAGATTTTTCTCTTCCATTACCCCAGAGGCTTCTCCACAAGAGAAAGTTGGATATGTCAGATAAGGACACAAAAAAGGAGAGACAGTAGGAACTTTAGCTTTTCCTGTGTCCAGATTCAGTGACATCACAACAACTTCATGTTTATGGAGCAGTTCAAACCTTTCCTGTTGACCACAGAAATTCTGGCTCTTGCCCACTGGAATCTGGCCTGAAGGCATCAGTTTATTTCACAATTCTTTATCTATTGTAACTGACTTTATAGACCAAAGTTTGTTGTAAAGTTCATTTTCACTGACACAGAATCAATCTGGGAGGAAACGTAGATCATAACCAGCATCTTAGAACACATTTGATTTATTTTTCACCAAGAAGTTACGAATAGCAGATTACTGGTGACCCCTTCATTTAAGCAATTCACTCACAGATGGTCCCTCACAGCTGCATGGTTGAAGTTATATTTGGCAACTAATCCCAACCATATCCTCAGATGCAGAGGCCATACTGGGGCTTCTCAGAAAGTGCCTGGAACATCCTTTAGAGGATCACAGTCTTCATTATCAGGTGCCACTTTATGATCAGGTACCACTCACTGCTGTCTTGGGTGTGGTCCAGGTTTTACAATCCACTGCTGGTTCCTGTGTGTTCTAGAGGCCTTATACAGTCACAGTGTACTCTTGGTGTCATGAGTTCATCAGTTCTTACAAATGCAACAGGACTATTACCTTATGAAGCTTATCAACCTCTGTAAATTGTCACAATCTAATTTCTTATTAGATATATTTTCTGGTTTTGGATTATTGATTTCTGGTAACTATTTCTCTAGGTAGAAATATTAAAAGAACTGAAGATGAAGAAGATATAGCCAGTGAAGTCAGAAGGGAAAAACAGGTGTCAATATTAGAAAGTATGGAGAGGAGACATGATAAGAGCTAATAAATATGTAAGAAACTTATTCAGAAACTGTTAGGGCAGTACACTAAGTGAATAGTCTTAAATTACAAGAATATCAGATATTTATTAGGGTAAACTTTCAGGAACAAAGAATAATGAGACATACTGTTTCGTGGAATGGTAGAGACAAATCATTATTGGAGTTTAAGAACATGTTAGATTGGGAAAATTAGATGCTTATTTCAGTAGAACTACAAGAATCCTGCTCCTTTTTTCTGTTACTTTAACTTTTATGATAAATTGCTCTATTTAAGAAGACACAAACTTTTACTTACAACCAGCCATTTAATGATTATTTAGTGAATCAAAGTAGTACAAAAATATTTACATATATTTCATGTACAACTAAAATATTTTAACTTAAACATGATTAAAGTTTATCAAAAGATTGAAATATCAAAAAAAAAAAAAAAAAAAAAAAAAAAAACAAATTAAATAAAGACCTTCTTGAAACTAGGAGCTTCAAGTCATTTGATTGTTTACATTTAGCATAAGATCTATGGGAAAAGTTAAAAAAAAAAAAAAAAAGAGTATATGGGAATATTGTATATTTTTAGACTCTCTGAAAGCAGACAGTGCACTTCTATGAAATGTAGGCTTGGTCATGAAGTCTTGAACAAATCTCATAGAATTGAAAGACTTTGAGAGGGAGAATTTGGTTTGAAATTATAAAAGCCTTCCTAATAACAAGCTTCAGACTTTGAAGAAATGGACTAAAAAGATATAAAATCTTCCTGGTATTAGTAATTTCAATGAGAAATTTTAAATAATTTTGTCATCTATGAATTTAGTATAATGAATCCTGTCTGTTCTCCTTTCATGGAAACCTTTGAAATTCCTGTTATGTTATTTAAAAGAGAAAATGTTTCTATTCACAATATATTCATACTTCGCTGACCTTTCAATCCTCATATTAGTCATATGAAGAGGAAAATATGTTAATTCAGGAAAGACAGACATTTTACAAATGACCAGTGAAATAAGATTAAATAACACTTTATTTGAGGAAATACTCTGAAGCATTGTATCACTCCTGTATTACAGATATGTGCTGTACAAATCCCACTATGAGAATATGTAATTGCTGCATTTTGGAGGTTTCTGACCTGAATTTACACAGTGGTGACTGAAAGGAAGATCAAGTCCAGATGTGGTAATTGAAATGCCGAGGATCCCAGAATAGCTTTTGTATCTTCAAGAAAAACCTCCTTAAAGCTCAAGAACAGCCTGTCCCAATGTGCAAGGCACAAAGTAGGCAAGGAAAAAAGCAAGCCTGTCTTTATAGGAAATTTCTGATTGACATGAAACTCAAAGGATAGTGTATGGAAGGTGAAAAAGGCATGAGCTACTCAGCCACACAAACAGGGACGTGTCCTGGGCACACCAAGACAGGCTGAGGAAAGTGAAAACTCAGCTGGGGTTGAGACTAGCCAGGAAAATGAAGGGCAACACAAAGGGTTTCTGTATTTACTTCAGCAGCAAAAGGAAGACATGGTTCCATAGATAAAGGAAAAAGAGTCCTACAAAGTTCATGACTGAGGTATTCAAAGCCACCAATCACCCCTCACACACTCTACAGGTCTTTAATAGCTAGCAGCAGATGCTAGTGGAGAAAAGTGCTATGCATGGCACAGAAGGATTAAGTTAGGGACTAATGTTAGCTGCATATAAAGAAGTCCATGAGACCTGAAAGGTTATATCTGAGGACACTGAGGGAACTGGCTGTGGTCACTGAGAGTCTACACTGTGTCACCTCTGACAAGGTACAGTGACTGAAGGAGGTAACCTCAGTCCTTAGGAGGGCTATGGAACAATTCCCTTGGAAGCCATTTCCAGAAACAAAATAAGTCAAGAAAAAGAAGTGGTCAGAACACATTTACAAAGGGTGAATTGTGCCTGGCTGAACTGATTACTTCATATGAAAAGATAATTGGCTCACAAATCCCAAAGAAGGGGAGAAAAATGAATGTGATTTACCTTGATTTTAGCAGGACTTTCAAAATCCCCTCTCATTCTATAGTGCATGTATTGCGATGTTGGTAAAAAAATTGCTTGTAGTAGGGAGCTGAAAGGGTAACAATCAATGATTCAAAGTCCAGGCTCTGTCTAAGATGGTCTGACTCCATGAATCAGTATGTGCTGGAGCTGGATAGAAAAGAACTGAAGTCCTGCCAAGGGCTACTGAGAGGGATGGGAGATTTGATGTATTGATATATGATAAGAAGAGTCTCAGATCAAAGGGGCAAATAGGCTAATGAGAGACCTGGCTGTCATATTCAATTAGCTAAATGGGTCTTTATAGAAAATGTGCAGCCAAAATCTTGACAAAGGTGTGCAGACTTCTGCTATACAGAAGTGGGAAGACAAGGGATAGAAAGAAAACAATTTTTACCAAGAAGCATTTATAAGCATTGTAGCAGGCTACCTGGCTACTCCAGCATGAGTGTGTACCAAGTGATCTCGGAGCTGACATGCAATATATGGAATTCTGCCAGTCTGCGCTGGAAACCAGACGTGGCATCACCAGGATTCCTACAGATCTAGATGTACTTTTTGAAGAACGCTAAGGCACTTACTCTGACTGTTTCCTGTGATGAGTACAGTTATCCTGGTATCTAAGGGTGATGCAGGACCCATGCATCAACTGAAACATCCTGAGTGTTCCTTTACACAGTGTAGCTCCAGGTTTTATGTATGTTCAACAGTCCTCCCAAGAACTACTGTTTGTGAGCAGATTTAGAATGTTGCAAGATTGCTTGTTCCTGCTAGTATAAGCAAGAAGTATCCTGTGCAAAACAAACAAAAATTCCCATAGGAGAAAATCAGTTTAAGTTCAGAATTTTGGTATTCCAGTACTTAGTTCCTTTCCAATCAGGCCCAAGTTTACCCTATTTACCCATTTACCTATTTACCCATTGCCTATTCATTTTCTTCAATACTGGTCACAAGACATTTTGATTCATGAGTTCCAGGATCAGGACTACCACAGTATATGGCATTGCCAAAACTCGCTGTAACAGTTGTCTGTTCATGTCTCTTCTTGTAGAAAAAATATGCTATAAGGCCAGTGCCTGCTAGCAGAAGGAAGATTAGCGTAACAATCATCACACCTCGACTATGTGAGGATGAAACAGCAGCTTCTCTTTTTGATGCTGAGAAAAACGAAACAGAACAATTACTACAAATGACCAGAGATTACTACTGCATATAACAAACATTTCCCTAAGTAAACGAGCCAGGTAAACTAGAAAAGTACTGAACAATTATACTTAAAATTGACACCCGTTTTTGATAAACAGAGCAAAAATGTGCTCAATCTCTCCTACATTTCTTTCAAAAGCAGCATTATAATGTACCACAGTTTATTCACAAAACAACAAAAATATCAATAAGCCATCCAGTTTGAGATAAAAGTTCTCCTTTTAAACAGGTTTAAAATGAAATCACTACTGATAGTTAAATGGATATTTCAATGAAACTCATTTACTTCTAAATAATGAATGTCTATAATTTATCAAAATTTCTTTTTAATGTGCTTATAAAACCTACCTTGATTGACAGATGAATCATGGGTTGGTTCAACTTCAATAACTTTAAAATTAAAAAATACATATATTATACATAGTTTGCAAGTAGTCATTCAAATACAAAATACATACCATAAACGTAATTGTTATTTTGTGTTCCTATTACATTTTACTTAACGGAGATGAAAAAATATATATGAAAACATTGTCATTGAAAACTCTTGATGATTTTATCAATGATTTTTGTTAAATGTGTTTGTTCTAAAAACTCCAAACTGATGTCTCACTTTATATTGCTTCGAACACTTTTATTGTTTCGGGAGGCAGATGTTAAAAGTTTTCATACTTCCACAGTCCCCAACCTTCATTCTGAAGAATTTAACTTATTACACTTGAATAACTGAAAAGCACATTTTTACTTAAAAGTATTTAGGCTGTATTTTTAGGCATTTCTTTTTTCCTTTCTCTTTTGCTTGGGATACAGTAAATTCTCTGCAGGCCTGGCTGGCTAGCCCTTGAGAGCTCATGGACGGCTCTACTGCCAACATGTGGAGATCCAAAAAAAGAAGATTCAATTAGTTGCAAGTTGTGTGAATTATATGAGAAGTGGATCTGTTTGCCTTTTCAAACCACTTCCCAGCTGATGTGAGAAAATGTGGCACACTCCATGTATGCATGTGCAGATTTGCATCCTCCACACTTTATGAAACACTGCTGTGCATGCCAGGGAGCCTCATCTCAGGCTGTGACTTATTCAACTAAAAACCACAAGGCCACCATTAATAATAAAATGTATTGTTTTCTATGGCAGTCTTGGCAGGTCTCATTATGCCTGGGTCAGCAGAGAAATGATTTGGGCCCCACTGCCCACCCTCAACTGACACTTTCTGCTTAGCCATTCAGTTAAACGGAGCACACTTCATTTCTACTAATCCCACTGGCAGCTCTTGCTTTCATCCTCCAGAAGCTCAGTGATTTGCCCAGCCACCTCTCAGCTTAGCCATCTGTCTGTCTTCTCATCACTAATCTAGTCATCTATTCTTCATCTAATGCCTCCTGCACCCTAACGTAACTTCCTCCACGCTCTCACCTACTGATCCATTCTTGGCACAGCAAATAGCAAAAAAGCAATGCTCTTAAACTGAGAAGATAAAAATATGATTGAGATTCTTCTCCTGCATTATTTTTCCTAGCTTTGACACACATGCATCAAGATCCATCCACAAAGAGTATCCAGTGCATGTACAATTAGGTCTGATGCAAGTTAACAACTACTTACAAAATAAGTCAGTAGATAGAATTTAGAACTCACTCTTTGGGATTTTACAAATGAAATTGCGGTCAACAGAGCAGTAATAGTTCCTCCAGGATCCACTTGAGACATCCATGTCCACACAGTGTTCATCATAAATCATTGTAGGCTCTCCTTTCTCCCAGTTGACAAATTCTACCACACTTCTGTCTGTCCACATCCATTCCCCTAAAATTAGAAGTATTAAATAGGAAATGGATGAAGTGGGAAAATATTTCTAGTCTACCAGGCCCAAGGACATTGCATATGGAATTTATTATTTGATTAAATAAATTACCTTTACAGAAGATTCTGTTTTCACTCTTTTAACAGATAGGGATGTTTAGATGGGAACTTGTCAAATGTAAATGCTCACAAGCTGTACACAGATGAAGTCAACACATTAACCCTTCTGGACCATTATGAAATAATTACCTTCAATATTTTTGAACAATCCTATCCAAAATTTTCTGAAATCACTTGCAAGTGGAGACAGGTAAAGTAAGAGGAAGTTCATTTCAGCTGGATCTTCTATGGAAACCAGAGAAGCACCTAAAATATCAAATAAACAGTACAAAAATTTCAGCAATATTTCTCACTATACATTTTTTTACTTCAGTAAACAATCATGAAAAAAGAAAATGGGGAGGGGTGGGGGAAAGGAGGGAAAAGGAGTGAAGGAATCCTTTAAAGCCCAAGAGTTTTCAATTATTAGATCACAAGTTCACAACAATATGAACTTGTGAACTTGAACAAAAGGAAAGTTCAACCTCTCCTGATAGACTACCAATATCCACCTCTGACATCATGGGTTGACATGGTAAAATAGAAGGCATTACTTTCAGAGCAGCTCTCATAAAAAGGCACTTACCCATCTGAATACACATCATGGAAGCATCTGGCCAGCTTACTTCAGAAGTGGTGTGAACATAGTAGCAATGGCCACGAAAGGGAATCCAAGATCTACCGTGCTTTGGTTCAGGACACTTTCCAGGAAGCTGTGGCGATTCGGTAGGAATTAACTCTGTTAAGGAGATGTACAACTTTCAGTGGGTTTTTAAAAGCCAAGGAAAACATGGTCTGCTGATGCTGAAATAAAGACAGGATTTGAAATTCCAGTCTTTCTAAATGCACTTCTCCTATTCATGACCTACCATCAGATTGTTTACAGAGAGATAAAAATGTTTCATTGCAAGATGTTGTCTTCCAAAAACCATCCAAATCTAAATAGGCACAGGCTGCATTCTTATTTGGTTCTCCACTGGCCCAGTTATGATATCTGCTCCTCCTTCTATCCGACCACATGTAAACGCCACGAGTCTAAAAGCAAATGACAGTAAAGATCATGTCACATACATGAATTAGATTAAAAGAAAATGAAGACTGCACTTGAAGGTATGTAAAAGTTAGGACAGGTCAGAATCACAGTTACTTACATGTAATTGTCATGGTTTTATGTTTTTTTGGCTTTCAGTACTCTGCATCATAACATCATGTTGCGCCCTGGGAGTTAAAGTGTTAATGCTCCAATTCCAGGTACCTATTCCCCTATACATTTGTGGAAGTCATGGGATCTGGCCCTTCCAGGTGGGGCGGTCTCTTACTTCCTTGCAGTGGGTGCTGGAGAGTGCTTTCCTAGCTGTTCCAAGCCTTTGAGGTTTGACTCGGTCCCAGGAACTCTCTCTCTCCTATCTTATTTGATTTATTAAGCTCAATTTCAATTAGATTGTATTATATTGTGTTACCTTGCATTCCGGTATCATAGTTAGTAAAATAAGTTTTCCTGCATAGGTCTTTGCTGCGGGTTTTTTTTCTTCCTTCCTTGAGCCCAGCTCCCATCTCCCTATCATTTTTCCTTTTGCCTTCCTATTTTGTAGGGCCGGAGGGCGGGGGGGGCATAGATCATAGATTGATCTAGTTAACTCCGTGACAGTAATTAATTTTTCCTCTGTCATGACCAAACCTCAGCCCTATGCAGCAGATAGAATGGTAGTCCTAAAGACATTCATTCACACTCAACCTGCATTATTCAGTTCACACTATACAGTTTGTATAGCATAATGGACTAAGGGCCTTGTGGTAGCAAATGCGATTATATAACTGAATCTTATTGAAGGAGTCCAAATAAACACAGAAATCAAACAAAAATTGCGGAGAAAGTATTCTTAGCATTCTTCTAACACAAGTTTTTCTATATTTTTAGAAAGAAAGAAAAAAAAAAGCAGAAGTTCAATTGGAACAAGAAATACTGATTACATTTTTCATGGGACACATACACAGACCTCTGCCACCCACTGCATGGACCAGCTATTTAACATTATATATAGTGTATATATAATTTATATATATATGTTCATATATATATATAAATTATATGTTTTTTATATATATATATTATATGTTTATATATACTATATTTATATATACTATGTATATAGTATCTATATATATAAATATATATACTATATTTATATATACTATATATATAGTATCTATATATATATACACACAGACTATATATATAATACTATATAAAGAATATATTAATATATAAATAATAAAATATTATATATATATATATATACTATATTTATATACTATATTATATATAGTATTTTTTTCTCTAAACGTACTTTTTTCAGTGGATTTCACCACTATTTGCAGACCATGACCAGCAGCAGCTGCAGTTATGGCTCTGTTAACCCCACCGTGTGCAGCCTGATCTCCTTCTTCCTGTTGTCTTTGGAGGCAGGCTCCCTTTTAGTTCTTCATACCAGTTTCTTTCCTGTCCATTTTCCTTTGACCTTCTTGGCCAAGTTCCATCCTAATCTTGCATCTAATCCTGATTCCCCCATGCCTGCTCTCACCAAAATTTAGCTCCTGTTCATCTCACATCAGGAACTGTGCCTTAATGTCCCACCAAGCTCCAGCTCTAACACTCTGCTCTTGACTTCCTTATAACTCTGTTCCCACAAATATCCAGCTGCATCATCTTTTTTCATATTCTTTTTATATGCCCTTAGCAAACGCTTCTCATTTCAGCCCTTCACACTCTCTGTTGACTTGAAGCTGGTGGCAGCTTTTTGCAGGGCACTGGCATCAGCTCTGAAAACCACCCTACAGGATTCCCACATCCAGGGGCCTGCTCCTTTCTTTATGCTGTACCTTACCATTTCCCCTTCTACTGAGACAGAGGTAAATGCTAGGCTTTAACTTGAAACAATAATTCTCAAAATAACCACACAGAAAAAACTACTTTTAAGCCAAGCTGTTTCTGTGATATGCTTCACAGAGTGTTCTCAGAAAGAGCTGTGCCCTCCCACATGCATATAAGAGCGCAGGAAGCAGAAGTTCATAACCTCTTTTACCTCTGAAGCCACTAGCTACTGCAGCTACAGCCTTGGTGGCCTCTGGAATGTAGACTGTGGCACTTCTTGGTTATGTTATGGCCAAAAATGTAGATGTTTAAAACTTCTGAATTGAAAGGAAATCAAGTATCTTGGCAAGACTTTGATGTCTGCCAAGCATTCATGGATCTCATAGCCAGCACTCTCTTTGGGGGCCACAGTAGTGGATTCTGCCAACCTCTGAGCAAGAAATATGGTCAATCTATGCTGATCTGGAGTATAGCTGTGTTTATCACAAGCATTTTATTGGCTTACCATGTTGCTGTTAAGACCAATCCATACGGGCTCTCCATGCTTTAGTATTTGTAACCAAAGGTAAGCCTCAACATAAGGATCTAAAATGCTGGCAAGATCTGCATACTGGTCTTTGCAATTCTTCTGTGCTTCTTCCCAGTTCATTTTATAGTTGATGACTGCATAGCGGTCATCACCATAGTTGTTAAAGCCAAACACTGGAACCACGGCTTGGGAACTTTGCAATTTAGGGTCTGTAACAAACAAACAAATAAGCAGAAATGTAAGTTGGAAGCTTTATCTTGGCTAGACGTATTATCACAATGAAAGAGGACCTAGTGTATCAGAGTAATCAAGTAACTGAGAGAGATTGCAATAACAAATTAAGATTCCCAGTTAGCACTGCAGAGATGAGGCCATGTTTTCATGTTCTCTGACAAAATTTTCGTGTCAGAAATGATCTTTATGGTTCTCTCTCTCTCCATCCTGGCTGCTGTACTGTAAAAGACATGACTGTAAAATACATGATGATCCATAGTTTATCATTATTATTATCATTATTTTTAATTTACTGGTCTGGTCCTTAAAACAGGAAGAATTTTTTCTTGCAGGAAACAGTATGCGTGCTGGTTGAAATGGATCCTAACGCAAGAGATATTTCAAAATTGCAAATTAATTTCAGTTAAAATGACACTGACTATGGGAAAATCACTTTTACCACGGGCTTTATATAACCATAATATGTAAACCATTCTAGAAGGTGCTTAAAGAAAACTCACCAGCATTTTTCTGGCATATGTAACTTTTGCTTGCTTTACAATCTTCATCTTTCCATTTCCCTGCTTGTTCAATAGGGTTCTTCTTCATATAGACACAGTCATCCTATGGAGGAAATTAGATTAGTAAGAAAAAGATGTGGATAAATAGGAAGCATTCCTTTTCCTACTGGATATACATTTCCCTATCATATTCAGCTACGCATGTCTGAATAAAATTATTGAAGGACTACATTCAGTGCACTTATCTTACTAGGCTTAGCATCAAGAAATGTAAAATACCACTTTTCAAATATTTTCATCATGTCTAAATAACATTCTCTGTATAACATTACACAGTTGTTGCTATGGTTTATTTGAATCTCCTGATCAGTCATGGTAAAGGGAGGGAAATTGCTCACTTGTCTGAGATTTTTACAGAGTTTCTAAACATCTGTCTGGATTCATACAAAATCATGATGAAACACAGAAGTTGAGAAAAAATGTCTGAAGGTGGACCTTCATGGCTACTTTGCTTTCAAAATCAACAAGATCATTTAAAAAAAAAAAAAAGTAGAAATGTAACTTTACAGCAAAATACAGCTGACATATATTTTATTCATCCACAAAAGCTAAAATAAGAGCAGCAGAGTGGCGCAGCGGAAGCGTGCTGGGCCCATAACCCAGAGGTCGATGGATCGAAACCATCCTCTGCTAGCAGCATTTTTGACATTAAAAAGCAGTGTAATTTATTTTAACAGTCAGACTCCAAGATGCATTCAGGAAACACGAGCGATCAGAAGGGCACCAGGCAGCTCTCTCTCTGCCTCTATCTTCTGGGAGCAGCATTATTGAAATACACATGGCAACCATTGGCCACAGTGGTTGGACTGAGATGGAAACCCAGACTGGGTGCCAATGACTTGGGCAGATAGACCTCTAGATGAGTGAATAAAGCTGCCCATATCTTCTGTTGCAGGGAACTCCAGAACCTGGAAGTTCTCCTAGGGTCTGAGAGAAGAGGAGGTGCAAGTGTTCCCAGTTTGATAAACTTTTTGAGCAAGCGGCCAGGTTGTATGAGAAAATCATTAGGAAATGTAGTATTCAGGAATCAGGGAGAGAAATTGATGAGTGGTATTGTGCAGTGATACAGGCAGGGCAACTACCTTGTCTGAAGTCCTTGCAAGAGGAAGAAGTTAAGCTAGTTTCCAAACCTGAGGAGGCAGACCACAAAACCTGAAGACATAGGAGAATGGGTCCTAGTCTCTGCTTCAAGAAGGATGAGTCTTCCTCTTGCCCCCTAAGTGCCTTTAAAGTCCCTTTCAACCCAAGCTATTCTATTTTGTGATTCTATGGTTCTATGATTCCATGATAACAATGCATTTTTTACCTTACTGTAGTAACTTCGGGAACCTTTTGCCCAATTTGTGTAGTAAACTGGACTTCCATCTGTCCATAAGTATGTATGCTCATGATTTATGTCATTCAGTCCAATCCAGGCATCAGTTGCAGTATTTTTTAAGAGAGACATGAGGAAAGCTGAAGAAAAGATAAATATTGTACATGGAAGGAAAACGTTATAATCTGCTTCTCCATGATCATTTGATGTCTCATTTAGTATCAAAAGATTAGTACTTTATACCTTGATTTTCCTTTTTTGAGATAGTAGCCAGGTTTCCTCCAACAGTAATACAATTGTTCCGTGCAGCATGCCATGTCAGTGTATAATTTTCATCAAGGCCAAATGCTTTGAAACACTGAAAAGTAAGAAGTGTGCCAAAGCTGTAGTTGGATGGTGTTTTAGAGTTTCCAGTGAAAGCATCTCTGTGTGTAACAAGTGAGATAAGCTAAATATTTTAAACCAAAAGGAGATTTAATTGTCCTTTCTAGCTTGCTTTTAGGTTTTTCTGAAAGAGAAGATGCATACTGGAAAACCTCCATATTTTAGCACCCATTTAGAAGAAGAAATATATCAGTCTAAAGTTTTCAGTGGAAATTAAGTTCAAAGTTCCACAGCATTTTGGAGGCTTGACTTTGAGTAAGGAATGCCTAAGACCTCAGACAAGAATTCACACAGGTCAAAAAAGTATCCCAGAAGTGACAGCCAGATAAGCTTAGCAAAGTAAATAAGAATATACAGTTGTTCTGAAGTTGTTTCTCCCACAGTTGCCCACTATCATTGGAAATACTAAATAATAGCAAAAATACATAATGAAGTATTCTCCTTATATGGCACATGATTTCTTTGATAACAGTGGCGTCCCCAATGCAGACTATAATTTCTATTTTAGGACTCTTATTTTTAGGGTCATTAAATATACATGGTCAGAATATATTTTGTGATAAACAAATCACTGCTTCAACTTAAATACTGAACCAAGGAAGTTTTCTATTCTTTTTAAAAAGCAGTATACTGACTTTTCATACTGCACCTTATTATCAAAGAGGAGCCAGTCTTCTGGACACCCACCATTGGGTGGTGGTACTGTGGGAGCAGTACTAGGACGAACAGTACTGTTAAGCCTTTCACAGATGAAAAGCTCAACACTGCCACAGTTGAGGTCATTCCATGTACCTTAAAGTAAATCAGAATAAAAGACAAAACTGAGACTGGAATATAGAGTGACCTTTCCTTTAGTAAATCTATAATAGGAAGTAGAACTGATTACAGTATTTCCCTCCCCATGGAAATAATGACTAATTTTATGTACATTCTCCTTAGAAATATTCAGGTTTACAGCAAAATTCATGATTGCCAAAGGGTCATTTTTAATTAACCTCTCTAAAATCTCATGCAGATCTCTAAGCCACAGACTTGCACATTCAGCCCTTTCAAGTCTGTACCACACCATGAAGGACTGAATATTGTTACAGCACTCACCTGTTTGGGTATACATGACCACACAATTTTCATCATTATTTGCAAAGTTGGGTTCATTTGGGGCCCAGGCAACATAGTTTACAGTAGTTCCATCCACCCACCTGAAATAAGTGATTTGGGAGAATAATAATTTGTAGGGTAGCATTTCTTTGCTAGGGACTTACTAGAGCTTGGTGGTAGTTTTGTTTTTATTTTTCTATATCCTACTTCACAAACATGTGTTCTTCTCTGGTAAAAGGAAAACTTTTCACTTGTAATCATTAAAAAATATCTTCATGTCTAATGTCTAATACTGTTGACTTGAACCAGGTCTCAGATAGTATTTTCAAAGTCATGGCTTTCCTCTGTCTCTGAGCATTAATAACTCAAACAAAATACACTGGTGCAACACTGGGCCTGGCCTTACCTGGAGCACAGATGCAGAAACATGAGGCTAACTTAGTAATTTCCTGGGGCCAAAGCAGTGATATAATGTCTTAAAGGGTAGGAGAGATTCTCAAATTATATACTAGGAACAATTTTGTTAACAAAAGAAATCTATAATATATATTGCTACTGCTTTCAGTTATAAAAAAAAAAAAAAAAAAAAAAAAACTTCCTAGTTCAGTGATTCACAAATTTATTCTCACAAATGCCCTATGAAAAAAAAAGTAAAATGCCTCAGAGTGCTGGAGGGAGCACAGTCAAGGGGGGATTTGCTTTCAGACAGCATGAGCTCCAGGGCCATTCAGTGCTTTTCCAGTTTGTGAAGCTAATCAACAGTACGCGTGTTCCTGCCAGTAGACTACAAATAAGGAATGCAAAAGGATGCCTAACTGCTTTCACTTGCAAATCTTCCTGAGTCAAACAGGAAAAAAAAATAACATAGAGTAAACTGGGAGGAATGTCTTAAAGACATGAGACAAAATGAATCAGCAATGTGCATGTACAGCCCAAAAAGCCAAGTGTATCCTGGGCTGCATCAAAAGGAGCATGGCCAGTGGGTCAAGAGAGATGATTGTCTTCAACCACTCTTCTCTTGTGAGGCCCCATCTGGAGTACAGCATCCAGACCTGGCTCCCCAGAACAAGGACACAGACCTGTTGGAATGAGTCCAGAGAAAGGCCATGAGGATGCTCAGAGGGCTGGAGCAGATGTCTTATGAAGACAGACAGAGGGAGCTGGTGTTGTTCAGCCTGGAGAAGGCTCCTGCGAGACCTCATTGTGGCCTTTCAGTACTTAAAAGGGGCCTACAGGAAAGCTGGAGAGGGGCTATCAGAGATTATAGTGATAGGAAAAGGGCAGATGGCTTTAAAGTAGATTTAGATTAGACATTAAGAAGAAATTCCTTACTGTGAGAGTGGTGGAACAGGAACAGGTTGGTCAGAGAAACTGTTGATACTCCAAGCTTGGAAAAGTTCATGGTCAGGTTGGATAGGGCTTTGGGCAAACTGATGTAGTGGAAGTTGTCTCTTCCCATAGCAGGGGGTTGGAACTAGACAGTCTTTAAAGTCCCTTCCAACCCAAACTATGGGTTGGAAATGATATTTCTATTATTCTGAGGTATTCTATGATTCCATGATTTTACGATTCTATGATTTCTGATAAAGTTGGACCATTATCCAGAAAAAAGAAGGATTAAACTAGAGGGGCAGTAAAGACAAACAATAAAGTTTTTTTCTTTGGGCAGGGGAGGAGGGCGCAGAAGCTCCAAGAAATCAGACTGTCTTAGCTCCACAGAGATGAGTGTCTGTGGTTTGTGAACAAGAAAGACATCCTGAGAATTCAGAAGTTAAAATGAGGCAGAGATTCATCTGAGCAACTTTGAAATCCCCGAAGAAGGCACTAGAAAAGGGCAGAAGAGAAAGGCAGAGGAAGGTTTTGATCATTTGAATATTTAATACTTTCTTAAAGTACCACCTGGAATATCTCTAGAGACCTCAATCTTATCTATCTTATCTTCTCTAGCATTTAACGAGGAAAGTGAGTGCATGGTTAACTCAGAGTAGTCTGACTGTGGGCAAACATGACTTCCCAAAACAAAAAACAGGGCCTAGAACTAGAAGAAGAGAAAATAGATAATGAAAATATCATAGGAGAAATGCTACCCTGAAAATGAGAATCATATTTTAAGATTTTATGTCAAAATATGGCTATAGGCAAACTCTGTTCACCTTTAAGCCTCAGTAGCCTCCTAGAAACAGCCTTGGCAAATATTCGCACATCATATATGAGTCTTAAATACTTAATGTTTTCACTTACCGGAACGTCTTGTCAAGGCTCACAGTTAAGCCAATAAAAAAATTATTTCCTTGATCTTTATAAAAAGTCTAAAACATACACACAAAAAAAGAAGTATCAATGAGATGTAATCAAATAGATTTCAGATAAAATGAGCAAGCACTTAGAAACACCTCATTTACATTTATGCAGTTAGATGACAAGCAGTGTACAGGGAGTTGCTAGGATTATGTGCCCAAACTTCAAAATGCAAAATTATCATTCAATTATTAAAAAAAAAAAAAAAAAAAAAAAAAAAAAACAAAATGGGATGAAAAAAAAATTTGGGAAAATGCTGTGTTAAGATTAAAAACAAAACAAAATTAAAAATGTCTTAAGAGGATATAATATAAAATAAAACCATATTTTTAGGAAAACCATAGTGGAAAATTGCTGAAAGGCTGCAAGTAAATAACGGAGTTTACTGTTTAATCACATGGAAGAAAGGGAGGAATCATACTTGTTTTTAATAGTATAGAAACTATTTATAGAAAACTAGAATCACCAAGTTATTCACTTCCTATTGGAAAGCAGCCTGGTTCAAACTATTTCTTGAAAATTTAATCTATTTTGACAAAGAGAGGGATTTCTTTTCCCCTTGTTTCTAAATTCTGTGAAGAGAACGAGATGGAAAACAAAATACACACTCAGTAACTAACTTGTAACTGAACAGAAAAAAAATGTTGAAAGTTGCACTCTGGCAATGGTCTTGTAAAGAAACGGAAGACTTTTCTACACATAGCAATTATTTATTAGAATAATGATTATGTCAAAGTTTCTAGGTGGTTAAACTTATGAAAGGTAACATTAATTTTTTATTATGCAGACTACTTTCTGATATGTCTGAAGCCAGCTGAAAAAGAGGCCTCAGTAGAGGATAAAACTTGATTTTTTAAAGTGATTTTCTTACATATTTCCAAAGAAACGTTCTTTCACTTTCACTGTCGATAACGGCAAGATCACCACCATTTTTCTTGCAGTAGTCTCTTGCTTTTTCCATAGGCATCGCTTCCTTGCTAAAGTAATATTCCTTATGATTATATATTATCCAGTCATCTTCACTAACAATATATTCATAATCTGCAATTTGAAACATTAAGTAGAGTGTTCATAATAGACATTAACACCATTGCATGAAAATTTCTTCACATACTGAAAGTACAAGACTTACCAAATGTGGATGTAGGTTCTGGTTTCAGTGATGCTCCTGCAAGGTAAATCAATATCTGAGTATATCAGAAATATCTCAATCAAATATGTTTATGCCATTGTTTTTTAATCATTTACCATTGCATTTTAATTTCCAGTGATAAAATGAAACCTAGAAGTTACTCGTAAGATTTTTTTTGTCACAAAATTGCTAGGAATATCTGAAAGAAGGTGTTACACTCAGCAAACTACTATGTTAGAGCTTACATAAACTATGGACTATGGATTTATGCTACTTGATTTCATTTCCTCAGCATGCTGCATGTACATGCTAAACTCACACATGTATCTCATCGATGAATTCATAATTTTCAACTGCTTTTATTTAAATTGAAATTCATGTAGCGTTTCATGGAACAGCTGGCTCTAATACATGTGATGCGATCTACCTAGAGAGGATGTTCTAAACTCTTTCTAAATACCATTTTTAGAAAAAAAAAGGTCTTCAACTTACCTTTCTTTATTTGACAAACATAGTCTTGCATATGTTCACAAAATATATCATTCCATTTCATATCATTATAGCCATAAAACACTCCACATTTTTCATTTCCATCATAATTGTTTGGTTCTCCATTTGCCCATTTTTGAAAGTTTACCTATAGTGAAAACACAGCGTTTTCAGGGTTTTCTACTGAAGCAAAACATTCTTTCAACTTGTTAAAGAAGAAAAGATTTCATTTGAATTCATGGTCCACATTATCTGTTTGTTCCAAACTCCGGAAGTAGGACATGACCACAAGACCATTGTATAGCATAGTGATTCTTCTCTGTACCTATTGGCCAACACTAGGAAGCCAAAAAACTGTTCTCCTCCATTATATGTGTAGAGATTAAACTGTTCTGTCAAGCTCTAGAAAGTAGAATCTAAGAACTTTCCTCAGATCCTCTCCTCCTGCCCTGATGTTGCACAGACATCCGAAGCTGCCATTATATGGCCTTGGGCCTTGCAGACATTGAGCAACTTAAGAGGGTGAAGGCAAAAAAGCTTATCTTGACCAAACAAACACAATTATTTCCACAGTAAATGACAAATGGAAATACAGAGATTGGTACAATCAGAATGGCTTAAACCAAGAGAGAAAATAGAGATTCCATTATCTTTGGTGTTATTTCATTGCTATAACTGTCATACTACTCTGTATGATTGTGAACTATCAAAAGATAAAAACTAATTCCTAAATCAGACTTGGGAAATCGACTTAAAGTCACTTGTGTTTTGTACATGCTTGACAAGCCATACGTGTAGTATAAGAAGAGGAGTAGGAACAAGAAATTTTTACTCACTGGTGAACCATCACACCAGGTAAATCCTCCATCAGAGTCCAAGGCATTTAAACCCATCCAGTAAGATAAGTGACGATAGTCTTTATTTCTAAATGATTATGTGCAAATATAGACAATAAGAGTGTGAAATAGAGATGGAGAATATATATCGTATGAAAGTTTTGTCACTTGAATTATCACTTGAGGAATTCACGTAAAGTTATCCCCCCATTTTCACGTGGAGAAAAACATTTGACAGGAATCAGGGAAACAGAACTGCACAGGAATGATCACAGATATCACATTATCAAAATTACTGAATTAAATGAAAATTTTAAGGTCTTGGTCCTACAGAGAAACTTATGCATTCAAACCCAGACTAGCCAATACTCATTTGCTTCAGTTAAACATTTATTTAAACACATCAGTAGGTCAGTCTTTCTTAGTCTCCAATTTTTCCCCTTAACTAAAGAAGGAAAATTACATTTCACAGCATAAAATATTCCTTCAATTTTTTGATTATTTCATCTGCTGGTCAACTACAACAGGCTTCTCTTTTTCAACTAAACTGAGCTGAAACCAATTTTTATGACCCTTCTTTCATTTTTGCATGTATTCAAGCTATTCTCACACATAGATGAATCTACCCAAAGGCTTGCCAAAAAGCACATTTGCTCACTTCTTTCCACCTCTTTACCTCAGTTTCTACCTGTTTACATTTTGCAGAGATGCACATTGTCTTTCCAAAAAAGAAATTGACCACTGGAAATTCCTCATGTCGTGCAAAATGTTCATTTTTAAAATGCTTTCTTTCCTATATTTACACAACGTATTTTGCAGATACTTACAAACTAGATATTAGTTTTTGCTCTTCTTCACTGTGGACACATGCCAGATCTCCTCCAATAGCTCTGCAAAAATCTCTTGCACCAAACCACGTTTGCATTTTCTCCCTTCCTCTCTGAAAAATCTGTGAGAAGTGGACAGTTAAATACAGTCTCAGATATTAGAGTAATTTAGAGTCAGCATTCTGAGCCTCTGTTTTCTTGCCTCTAGTTTAATCATTGGACATTTAGTTGTGTCACCTTGCTTGTGTGGTCACCTAGCAAACTTGATTATTTCAGCCTTGCTTTTGGCATCATCTCAGAATCCTGGTAGCTCCAACCTTCAAATCCAGCAGCACACAGCATTTTCCAACACCTCAGGATGCTCCACCCAGGATATGGTTAGAGATGCGTAAACACAAATGACCCATTATGTAAGCAGGATAAAATCCATCCTCCATGCATACATGAAGCATATTCTTACTTGAAATGACAAGTGTTTGTTTTCACTTGTTAAACACCTACTTTGAAACAGAAGCTGCTCTGAGGAATGGATTGCCATTCTTCTGGGCAGGACGGGAGTGGAGGAGTCGTCAGAGGGGGTGGTGGGGTCGCTCCCTCCACCAGCTGCTTGCACAGAAACAGGTTTTTTTCTTCACAATTGAGAATATCCCATAATCCAGCTGAAGTTCCTGTTCTCATGGCCACACAGCCTGGCTCCCTTCCTTCATGAAAGACAAAATTTTAACACCTTATTGATATGTAGCTACATCTTCTCAAAACATATATCCTCTACTAAAAGCTACCTGTCCCCACTGTGTTTGAATGTTCAAGTAGTTAAAATAAGTTATAAAAAAACTCATTTTATATTATACTGATGATATATTATATCACCAAAATATAAAAGCCAGCAGAGAACCAAGAATGAATGACAGCAGCAGCCACATGCAGTCCCAAGTGGCCACCTGGAAAGAGCTACTGCAGCTTCAGTATAAACAGAAGTTGCATGATTGTTCCTGCACATTTACGTCAGAACTGTTTTAAAACCACCCTGTAGTTTCTAAACCATGACTTCCTGGTTCCCCAGAGCAGAAACTCTGAACTCCTGGTTCCTACCTGGCATTCCCATGTTCCAGTGAGTGAAGATGACCGGGTCCCCACCAGTCCACTTGAACGTCCCCTGCTCCTCCACGTCTGAGAGTCCAATCCAGAAATATTCCACTGGCTTGAATCCAATTATAGAAGTTAAAAAAGCCTGTTCATATCTGTGAAGAATAAGTACTAAAGTAATATATCAAGCTTTATTGCAATCTGCCTATTTCTTCAAATAGTTCACTGTAGTAAACCTGGTAAATTTAAGATGATTTGTTAATTACGTGGGGAAAAATAAGCATAGATTGAAACAAGGATCATGGTCTTAAGATCTCATCGTAATACAAGTTGTTTACCTTACAATTAGGTAATGTAAATCATGCTTATAATTTAAAGTGATTCTATTCTCCCTTTGTGCTACACAATGAGCAATATAAGCCAATACTTGAATTAATGCATTTATTTAAATCAGTGATACAGTGACTTACTATGCTTTAAAATAAGTTTTAGATCTTTAAATACTTTTAGTCTAGGATAAAATAATTATTCTAAAAAAGAATACATTTCCAGATCTTCCTATTATGAGGAAAAGGCTAAAAACTCAAATCCAGAAGAAATAAATAGTTTCGTATTTATCTGTTTAGTTCATTTCAGTGAGTTTCAAAACAGTCTGATGATTTGGGACTGCTGGGGGGGCAGAATCAAATCTTTACTACCAGGGACAACAAGAGTGCTGGTGAGTAGCAGCCATAGCTTGAATGTTAATATTGATGACATAGCACTGCCTGTTTTACTTTGTTATACTTAGTTTTAACATGTATCTTACACCAAAGAAGTAGTATCACATTACACACTATTAATAACTTCAGAGTAGGAAGAGTTGAATTTTTGGCTTGGTTGCACATCTGGAAGGACAAGATTACACTGCCATACCTGTCTGTCACAGTAGCCAGGTGAGCTTTATTTTCTTCACAGATAAGTTTTGCTTCTGAAAATGTTGCTGGTAGCTGCCCTATGGAGTAGCAGTAAAAGCCATGCTTCATCCAGCCCTGCAAATGCAAACAACAGATACACAAGGGGAACTGCCAGATTGCCCAGCATAGAGCTCTTCTAAAAGCCACATTAACACCACATCCCACACCAAAATCAACCTCAGAAGCCATGAAAAGGAATTTAGTATAATCAAACATAGCTTTGCAGCCACAACACTGCTTCTCGCCCCTTGACAGGTGCCTTTGTCAGTAATGAACCATGGCTCTGACTTGGAACTGGAAAGCAAGCTGACAGCCACAGCTCAACAAATTGGGTAATGCCAGCTCTGCTTTTGTGTTATTAATATATAACATTATGCTCATACACTCAGATGACATTAGCAAAGAAGTGCTGGAGAAATTAAAAATAAAATATGGAAAACATTTTTTTTTTGTTTGTTTCTCCATAGTATTATGTTATGTCATTTTAAATAGAGCATAAAACAGCATATAATTTTTATGTGCAGCTGTTGCAAGAGGCTGTGCTGCAGTCGCACTGTAAAACGGCAGGCTCAGATATTTCTGCCTCCTGTGATGGGTGGGTTGAACCTAGATGGGTCTGTGCAATCTGTGGGTTCCAGCTCAAAAGCAACGAGATGCTCTGCAGGGAGAGGCTGTTGGGGCAAAGGGAATAGCTCTGCACCAAGAGAAAGCACTGTGAAGTGCATGTGTAAGTGAGGAAAAGAGAAGACATTTTGAGTTTATTAGTCTAAGAAGTATCAGCACAGACAAAGAAACAGTTTTCTAGGAGTCCACAAATTGCAATAATTGACTTCTATGCCACTTACCGTCATGGAAGTGAAAGTGGGATGCAGTGACCTTTCACTGCTTTTGTTTCACACTTACTTTCTGGCAACCTGGGTAAGTAACTTCAGCTTCCCCTGATTCCTCTGCCAAGGGTTTTCTTTTACAGATGTAACCAAGTTTTGTTTCACAAGCACTGTCAGTCCAGAACCCAGCCTGAGCAAGGCAAGAAGAAACCACAAAGAGAAGTGAAATCTAGAGAAAATCCAGGTTCTATAGGAATATTTACTATTCTCAGAGAGACCACTTCTCTCTTCATATGGTGTGAGTTGTTTCAGCATTTCCATGCCTGGATTCTTTCTCCAAATCTCCCAGACAGGGAACACAACAAACTGAGGGCCACATTTCCTCAGAAGTGTGAGAATTAGGGAGGCGTGTATTAAAGTTTCAGTGGCTGATGAGAAAAGTAACAAAACATCTTCTCTTTCATCTTATTCTCAGCACTGCAGTATTTATTCATGCTCATGTATACAATAGTATGCTCATACACCCAGATGACATCAGCAAGGAAGTGCTGGAGAAAAAAAAAAAAACAAAAACATATGGAAAACATACTGTTTCCCTAGTATAATAATTCATCATTTTAAACTGAGTGTAAAACAGAACAAAGTTGGGTTTTTTTTTTTGTACCTAATTCTTTGTGCTTCCAGCAATGAGCTTCCAGAGCAACTGTAATAAAAGTATGTTTACATACCTTTCTGATGTTTTACAGGAAGGATAAAGAAAGTCCCTGTTCCAATAACTAGACTATGCAACTATGATTGGCTAGGTCAAAGGCAGGTGAAGGGTCACTTCAGCCAATTTCAGATGGGAGATTTGTTGCAACTGTTATAAAGTAGATCAACTCTCAGCAGAGTGCGTCGCTTCTGATGCTCCATCTTACGTCTCCCTAAACCTGGTCTCCAGCCACTCACCATACTAAGATATTCTGAAGCAAACCAAGTTCCTAAAACTCTTTAAAAGCCTTTTTTTTTTTCTTTTATTTTTTTCCCTGTATAGGGGAGGTATAAAGGGCAAAAGAAAGTTAGGGAGGGATTTTTACCTCTCCATTCATAACAATGCAGTCTGCCTTATTAGGTGTGTGGATCGGCTGTCTTTGATGCCACTTGGTGTATGTCACAGGTGTCCCATCACTCCATTCAAAATACATCTGAAACCTGAAGTCACTTAAACCAATCCACAGCTCATCATCTGGCTCTGGAAAAACAAAGTTAATGATAGGCATGGTCTTAAAATTGAGATACAATGTCTAATATCCACAATTACTGAACAAGGAGTTTCAAAAAGTAAACAAATTAACAGGTAAGCTTATGGTTATAATGATTACATGAGTAACAGCAAGAGAGTATAGCTCCAGACAAAGAAATTTCTTGTGGGAATACTCACTATACCCAAGTTGAGACACTATAAAACTGTACTCCTCAACATTATGAATACTTGTCAGGTCTCCATCTTCTTTTCTACATGATGATTGGGCTTGTTTCCATATTTTGGGTGTTCTGTAAATTCTATAGCAGTGCCCTGCATAGGCTACCCATTCCCTGGGGCACTTAACAGGCTTCATGTCTCCTAAAAAAAAAATATTTCAAACAATTAGTGAGCGGTTCTGCTGAGTGTTCTCTGCTAATCACAAAGAAAATTACTTGTACTGCAAACTCTGAGATACTGGAGTATAGACTGGTAGAAAAGACAAAAAAGGGTGGGAGTATCATAAAGAATGCAAAACAGATATCTGCATCAGAACAATATTGTTCCAGAAGCTACCCAAATAGCTCTTTTAGAGGATGAAATAAATACTCATCAATTTGGTATGAAAGCTTGAAGGGCAATACTTTATATCAAATCCCCATCCGTGAGGCTTTGGATACAGCCACAGGGCCTCTTGTCCTACACAGGAACTCTGTCTTGGTGAATTTTGGAGAATTTCTGTTTTTTTTTTTAGGAAACACCAGGTGATTGCCAGTCACTTTGAGCTCCTGCACTGCTCATATTATGCACTGGAAGGCCCAGACATATTTATGTACAAGCTTGCATTCCCCTGGTCAACATCCAAGCATGGGTCTGGAGGTAAGCATGGGTCAGAAACCATCCCCAGTAGGCTACCTGGATGCAGCCTTAGTATTTAAGGTGTGCCATTAAACCCTCAATCCAGTGAACAATGTTATAGACTATCATGTGTGTTGCTGGGGGAGTTACAGCAGAGCTAAAGGCATGCTGAGAATTCCCAAGCACTAAACATTTTCTTCCTATAGAAAAGACTACATTGCCTCCAGTGAAAAGAGAACTCCAGTGGGAAAAAGTGCCAGCCCCAAGTTCTAGTATTTTCTTTTCAGAACAGGGTAGAAAATGTCAGAGAGAGTGGGGGGAGCATGAGCTCTAGCTCACATCTTTTTTCAAGACTCATCATACCTGAGGGAACAATGAAGGAGTCATCCACAATGGAAGAGTTTCTCTTTTGGCAGATATATCCCAGCTTTTGATTACATGCCACATTTTCCCATTTGCCATTCCTGCCTTGGAAGATCCCACACATTTTTATAAGCTCCACAGAGGGATTTCCTTCAGGAAAGAAGCACAACATACAGAGAATCACTCTGTTAACACTGAATATTTTCATCTCACCACAGGAGGGAATGCACAGCCACATGGCCTTAGTTCCTGATTCTTCAGAATGAGAATTCCCAGGAGCAGTGATGAAGAGACGCCAGTGAGCCCACTGGGAGAGCCCGCATTTCAAATATGAGGATTTCCCCCCTCCCATGCACAATTCAAGGAGAAAATGAGGGTGTCTGAAATACTGCAGCACACAGAAAACACTTCATAAAAATTCAGCTAAGGCACAACTCCCTGTGGGTTAGTATTATTGCAAAACACTCAATATCTTTTGCTGTCAAAAAATGGATGTGAAATTTGTATTGAATTCCACATAAGCGCTCACCCCTTGTATTTTCTTGTCATCAGAACTGTTATTATGAAATTATATTGACTTCAGCAACATACACTATGGTGAATTAAATCTTGAAAAATATAGTGGAGACTTATTAAGAGTTTATCAATAGACATCATAAGCAATACATAAGGAGAGCAACTGAAACAAAATTACACAGCGTTTCTCTTTTGGTGTTTTTTTTTTCCTCTTTCATAATTCTCTATATACCACTTTTCATGAGGTTTTCTTTTGGTTTGAATAATATGCCTGATGAGAAAATCGTAGATGGAAATCAAACTCTGAGTGAGGTGCAAATGCATGTTTTTAATGGTTTTCTTAGATGAGCTATCTGCTTTTCCTGGGAAATTCAGAAATAACAATGAGCCATCTATGATGCGATCCCACTATCGCAATACCCTACCTTTATCATAAGCACTTGTAACCAGTGAAAATTCTGTGAAACAAAAGGAATCAGGTAACACGACTTCGGGGAAGAGAACAGAATTTTGGTCCAAATATTGACCATCATTTCTGAAAAATGCACTCACCTGGAGCCCAATTCAGATATCTGAGAGGACTACCCTCAGTCCATTCCCAGCTGCTATCAAGTCGTCTCACAAGACCAGTCCAGAGCTTGGCATTGAATCCCAGATCACTAGTGAGTCCTACATGTGCAAAATAATAATAAATAAATAAATAAAATAAAATAATTAAATGCATCTGGTAAGTTGTTAAAGAAAACTTGAAATAAATTTTAAACTGGACAATGAAAAAAAAAAGTCATAGATATCTTTTTATGTTTTCTATATGAGTTACATTTTTTTTTCACAGTATTTTAAGAATTTTTTTTTGTCAGAAAGTGATGGTTTTTTTTTAAGAATGGCACTGGGACTTATTTTCAAACTGTGAATGTAAGTATCCATTTTAAAGCTCATTTCATGTACATTCATTTACTTGTTTGTATGTAATTTTTTGCTTTACCTAACAAAAACATTTCTTCATGAGGGTTTGTGACACTTAACAATTCTGCATTCTGCTGCTGGCAGCTTCTTCTTGCTTGATGCCATGTCAAAAGTGAGTTTGCGTTTATCTGATAATGGGTTTCAGTCAAAGGATTTCTTTTCCAAAAGTCTTTGTGGAGAGTGTCTATAAAATATGAAAAGCACAACTTGATAAGATAATCACAACTGTTAATGTAAAAAGTGAAGTATTTGGTGAAGACTAAAACCAGTGTAGTGTATGGTTTGGTAGGTTTTGCCTTCAATATGCTTTGTGCTTTCAATACGAATAACACATTTATAATGTAAAGAGTTACTTCTTACAAGTCTCATTTTTTTCTACATTCACTTTTCTTCTTTTCTTTTCCCTTTATATCTGATCTACTTCTCTCACAGTTCAGTCCACATTAACCTCCTTTTCCCCATGCAGAAAATCTTGGTCTCTCCATCCATTCTATTTACTTTGGAACCCTTGTTGGTCTATTCATTACCTGTCTCAAAATGCCTCAAAAGTACTTTGTTCTGACTTTTTCCATCAGTTCCACACAACATCCTCACCATATATTTCATAGATACCAGTCTCCTTATCGCCAATGCAGAAACTGAATGAAGAGCAGAGGCCCCGTATCAAGTTGCGTAGCTTACCAGTGAATTAGGTTACCCAGAATCCAGTTTGCTGTCCAGTACTACTTTCACATCCTGAGGAGATTTTAACTGTGAGAGGAGGTGACATTTAACTTAACGTCTTTCCTGAAATATTTATAAATAAATTACCTTTTGATGGACAATTTCCAAAACGTTGGTCTTTATCAAAATCTGAAGTAGTTGCACACCAGAGAGAGCTTGCATCAGTCTGACGGATGCAGTCAGCAAACCATTTACCATTGAACTTGAAAGGGAACACACAAGGTGCACCAAAATTATTTCCTCCTATTGTATACATATCTATGGAGAGAAACAGTTTAATAGCAGTCACTTGGTATCCAATACTAATCACAGGGTTTGTTTACAGGCATCTCTCTGTGGATGTTTCTAATTAACACTCTTAAACAGCCTTGATTTAGCCCTCAGAAAAAAAAAATCTGTCAGATTTATTACTTGTCATGTGTGGACTATTATTTCATGACTCAGCTTCTCCTATTGCACAAATTTGTCTCCTCAGATGATGTTTAGGATCTTTTTTTCTTTTCTCTGTATGGTTGGAGAAGCTTGGAAAGGAACTGTCAGAGTATTTTTATTAGTCCACATGAGAGAATGTTATATCTTAAATTTTTAACGGTTGGAAAGCAACTATCCAATGTCTACACAGTCTAGTTTGTCTGTATCTGAACAAAATAATGATAAAATTCATTCCGGGTAGAACTGTTTCTTGCTATTTAACCTCTCACCTTACTAGAGTTACAGTAGAAAGGACATTGAACACTTGGGACTGAATGCTAGGTCTGTGTAACCCAAGCAGGATAATAAAGCAGGAAAAGGAGATCCAGCTCTCCAGTGTTGAAATCTCCAGCATTCCTACCTAAGTGCAAGATGTTACTGCATTCTAAAGCATTAAAGTCCTGTCTTTTATTTTTGCCTTCTTATGCTTTTTCTTCTTTCTGGACCTGAGAAACACTGGATAAACACTTTTAGCAGTGAATCAAAACAACGTTATATAGAAATTAACTTACAAAGACAGCACCTGGTCAAATCAAGTAAGAACAACATTTTAATATAATGGAATTCACCACTTCTCCCAGAAATGGATCAAGTTGATTTTGAAACAGTCACAGATTCCATCCACGCCATCTCCCTCCATTGTTGCTGTAGAAAGAGAATTCCCATTCTCCTTTTTTAGTTCATCATGAGCCTTTTATTCTTTCATTTGAGAGAATCACACTTTTTGAAATGGGCAGAAAAGTATGCAGTCATGTTAGAGTAGGTCCAGAGGAGGGCCACAAAGATGCTGAGAGGGCTGGAGCACCTCCCCTATGAGGAAAGGTTGAGGAAGCTGGGCTTGTTCAGACTGGATAGGAGAAAGCTCTGAGGGGACTTTCCAATATTTAAATGGGGCTTATAAAAAAAGACAGAGACTTTCAACATGGTCTAAGAGTGACATAGGAAAAGAAGATTTAAACTAAAAGAGGAGAGATCAGATTAGATATTAGGAGGAAATCCCTTGCTCGGAGGGTGGTGAGGCAATGGATCAGGTTGCCCAGAGAAGTTGGGATCCCTGGAGGTGCAAGAACAGGCTTTGAGAAATCTGGCCTAGTGGGTGGCAGGCAGTAGGAACAGAATGGTCCTTAATGGCACTTTCAACCTATGCTAGTCCGTGATTCTATGATTCTATGCTATTTGTGTTGCGTTGCTAAGCCACTTTCAGTGAACTGTATTACTGATATCACTATTACAAGGACTGCTACTTGACAAGCAGGCAGTTGAATCCATTTAAATAGGGGCAGTTAATTTACCAATAAATATAGAAATTAATTCTCAATACTTACCCTCATAGGGCCTGGAGCATATGCTGCCTGCAGTTCCATGGATTCTCCATCGGCTCCCTTTGCCTGATTCTTTGGACAACCTGATTTTCTTTCCCTTCCCTTTTCCATAGTTGAGAAACAAATCCTTGCCTTGGATTGAAAGTGCTTCACCTTTACATTCCCACTTCTGAAGCTCATTTGTTCTGTTGCAGGTTTCCAACGTGATGGCAGCCTCATCATCCTTGGTGAGAACTCCTAAGCACAGCTTCATCCCCATGCTCAGCAGCTGTGTGGCCGAGATCCATCTGAACCTCTGCAACTCATTTTTCACATTGCACATGGCAGTTATGACTGAGCTGCTGTTTTGAGCTTGGGCACAGAGCTTGCTATCTTCATTATAAATTAAAAATATTCCACTATCTACAAAGCAAAATCAGAATGCAAATTTTTGAGGAGAGCTGCCATAGGAGATAAATCAGTTTCTTGCTATACGACAGTTTGCTACAACAAAAAATAGACATTCAGAGTTGATCAAGAAAGAAATCCAGAGAGTTTCATCAACACTATGAAAAGCATTCATCACAATATTTTTAAGATACATACAGAATAGAATTTTCTTCTTAAAGCATGCTGTTCTCAAAGTGCCATTCAAGAATGAGATTAGATTTAATGACTTAAGTGATTAATATGATGACTTAATGATTTAATACGAGATTTAATGACTTACACAAACTTTCACCACCACACAGCATATTAAACAAGTTTTAATTTTGTGAGTAAAAGGCCTGCTGCATTAGAGGCATGAAAAAAGGTTTCCATACTCAACATTCAACCATTTTTACATCTGGCCCAGAATAACATTGTGTTTTGCAACTCAATAAACAAGTGCAGCACTTTACAATTTTAGCTAATAATATCTAGAATTTTTGGCAACCATACAAAAAGTCATTTCTTCACTGAGTCAGAGTTCAGGTTGTGCTTTTCTCAGGAGGAAAACCACAAATTGCAACATCATCACTTCAGTTGTGAGCACTGGATAACTGTCCTCAGTGCCATTAATAGCTACACTTGTAAATAGAAATGTGAAACATTGCATGACACTCCGAAGAGCTTTGTTTCTGACGACCAATTGCAAAAAATAAGTGGGCAGAATTTCAGCCTGCTCCAAATCTGGAATATTTTTGCTGCTGGCTTTGTATCCTTCAACTCTCCTCAACTGACAGCAATATGACCCAGCTTGCTCTGCTGTGCCATTGAGCTTTCCTGCCACCCCAGCTTTCTTACCAGGAGAGAAATAGGTGTGGTTCATAACCCCACATCCCAGGACACTGGGAAGCAGTCAACTGCTGTGTTGACATTCCCGTAAAAAGTTAAAGATCTGAACAAGCAGATGGTATTCACCCTGGCACAGCTCTGCGGCTGCAGAGGTGCTTCATGCTAGCCAGCTAAGCCTTGCCCAAAAACTTGCAGAGAAGAAACTTACACGTGGTGGATTAGATCAAGGTCACAGGCAGCAGCTTTTAAGGCCCTTTCTAAAGCTGCCAGCCAGGAAATAGGATTCCAGTAAACAACAGTCTATGTGCAACAGCCACATGAGCTGAATAGGAAACAGCACAGACATCAGCCAGTGGTTCCAAGCATGCTGAGAGAACATTGCCCTATGCACCTGAGCTGATTTGCCCCCCAGTGGAGTACTTTCAGGTCAGCTACATCCACACTCAGCTGGCTGCTTTTCAGGAATCAGCACTGCCTTATTCACGCCTGTTGTTTTTTGTTTGTTTGTTTTACTCATTCACATCCTTGAATACTGGGTTATGAAAACAATGTCTAACATCACCAGATTTAAGAGTTGGAAGAAACTATTCCAAATTACATGCTGGGCTGCAAATAGATTTAAACTTAATCTTGATGAGGAAGGATGACAGAAAAGCAGGGAGAAAGATCACTTTCAAAACTCTGAACTCAGCAGAGGACAAAGACTTACCAGACGCTTGAAGATGCGTACAAAAGGAAAAGAGAAAAATCACAAGAAGGTAAACAGCCATTGCCAGATGTTTTGCTCCTTTCTCCTCTGCAGCTCTAACTCCTGCTGAAGAACAAATTGTGTCTTGCAAGAAAACCCTTCTGCATCGATCCAGGTTAACAAGTCCTTTTAGGTTTTAAGACTCAACTGATACAGGGAAGTTCTGGTCTGCAAATGAGGAACCAAATCACGTCACATATGTAATTTTGAAATAATACCTCAATGAATAAGCTTTACTTTTTAAGCTATTTTCAGTACTGAATGCAAGAGTTTTCTGTGGATATGTTAGTTCTAAGAGGCCACATTTTAGTGAAGATGCTTGGACACGTGTCTTACAACTCAGGATCATTATTTTTAGGGTGAAGTTGACACAAATATTTCTCTAATGGAAATAAAGAAAGTAAAAAAGAAGAATAAGATTGGTCTGATCCAATAAACAGAATGTAATATGGTACCATGAAAAACGGCTGGGAAAACCAGGCAAATCAGATAACCGTGATCCTAGAATTAGAGAAAAAAAATTGCATTTCAGCTTTTCCATAAGAAGAGAAAAGCTGCAGAAGAAGAATCTGTTCTCTTCAGGAGGCACCTATCCCCTTCTTTTGTTCTCTACTAGAACACACAGAAGCAGTGCACCCAAACTGACAGCAACAACTGATGAAATTCTGAAAAGAAATGATACAAGTAAGGGAAAAATATAACCTGCCACCAGAAAATGATAGATTTTCAATTATCAGAAAAGAGGGAAACTAAACTGATAAGGAATACTGCCACATTTTTCATCCATCTGGTCTGTGAAAGTTTCCACATCCTAAAGTACACTCTGTTCAGGCATTCTGACAAAATTCTGCTGTCTACTTTGAGAAAAACCTTCTGCTTTATAGTAGGCAAAATAATTAGAAATACATAGAGGTTGAGGAAGCAGTAACACTCACACCTGTGGCATGTTTACAACACTTTTTGAATTCTCAAACTCTTGAAAATTCTCCATCCCCATATCTTCAGGAAAGGCTGGTTTGGGATAAGTTCCCTGATGTTCTATTTACAGAAAGTACCCCTTAAGGTCCAACAGTACTACGGAAGCTAAAATAAGACTTATCCTGAAAAACTGCTGCTATTGTAGGCAAAGGAAACCCTGGATACCTACATGAAGAGCTGGGACCCTGTTTCTGTTGCTCTGACTCAGATGCAAATGAATAACACTGGGAGATCAAGAATTACAATACTGAGAAAACAATGGGACTAGTGGGCAAGAAAAAGGGACCAAAAAGCAAGAACCAACAGGAGAATGAAGGATTGTTATCAATTAGCTGCTGAGAGAAGCTGAAAAAAGATACTAAGGTCAGTTTCACCACCACGGTTGTCTGAAAAGAGCCTGTCACAGCCAAAAAATTGAGAAAGAAGATCAGAAGACAGCAGAGAGGCACTACGCTCAGAAAAGCAGCACTGAGTTTTGTGTGGAGTCAGCGTTGTTCCTTTGGCAATCTCTGCTCCCAAGCAGGAAGTTACACTGTGCAGATTCACCATCTTCTCTCTGAAGTCAGAGCTCTTCTGCAAAAAAGAGGAAACAGAAACAAAGCGCAAGAAATGTAGCAGGATGCAAAGAGGCAAGGCAAAATTTTACACGCTATCAACAATTACCATCAAGTCATTCTTCAGTTACTACCACAGAAATGAATGGGTGAATCCATGCAGGTTCTACAAGATGTGTCCCTAAAGTTAAACAATTCATTTTCGAAAAGCATTGTTATAAGTATCTAGAAAAATAATTTTAAAAAAGTAAAATAAAATAAAATGTGATCATTTATCCTGCTTGATGTAAAATTTCTACTCAGAATCCTCATATAAAGAGCAAAATCACAAAGCTTTCAATTCGGACAAAGGGTTTTTTTAATGCCCAAACCAAAAATCTTTGTAGAAATGTTCTATGCTAACAAACAAACAGAGGGAACAAGCTTTACATTTCTGTAGATAGGTTCAGAGTGTACTGAAAGAGCAACAAAAAGCACCTGGCATTTTCATGCTATATTTTCAAGATACATCATCTTTATTTTTCATTCATCTCCCTGAAGCACCAGGACGAAATGTAAGAAAGCTCAGCAGAATCAGAGGGTTATGGAAATGAGCTAGTAAGGATCACCTAAAAAGTCTCTTTTGCTTCTCTATCCATCCCTTCTCTTTAACCTTTTTAATCAAGATTTTCTTTGTTTTTGTTTTGTTTTGTTTTTTGCTTTTTTTTTTCTTTTTCTTTTTTTTTTTTTTTTTGGCTTTTTTTTAGTAGCTGGATCTACTCAGGACACAAAATAGGAGAACACAAAAGCAACAAGGGTGCTTAGAAGACAAGACTGCTTCCATAAGAAATAACAGCCTGTAGCAAAGAATGACTGAAAGAAATGATGATATGACAATTGATAAGATGCACTGATTTTATTCATGTATATAGAGCAACATGAACAGTTTACCAAGCCCAGTCTTGGAAACTTTTCTAAGCATTTAGTCACTTGTCAGGAACACGATAGCTTAGCAGCAGGAAAGGAGGACGTGTTGCCAGATCACCAAATAATGTTCAATTAAATTACTGCAATCCAGCTCAGTCCCGGTTAGACTGAAATAACAAGGTATTTCTCTTTCCACATTCTCTTGAGAACTACTCTCCCCAATGTTTCTTGAAGATTTATATGACCAAAGAAATTATGATTTTAAAAACTTTGTGCTCCTGTATTCAGTCTAACAGAAACTATGTGAAAAGCGAGAAAAAAAAAAAAAAAAGGAAATGGAAATGATCACAAGTCCATTTCATCTTACGTTAATTAGATATTGTTTAAAGTAATCAAGTTGTTTTCTCTGCTTTCCATTCAAAAATTGAAAAATTGTCAAATTGTCATTACTATATACATCATACATAGAGTATAAATGTTCATCTTAAGCTAATTAAATGGAACTTAAATGATGTTCTGTGCTATAAATGCCACCGCTTTCATGTTTGCTCTTTCTCATAGGAGATTTGCTCCAATCCCATTGAATTGCAATTGGGAAGACAGTAAAACATGCAGCTTAAACATCATATTTCTCCGAAAATCTTACATGTCTTAGAGTAGAACAGAAACAGCATTACACAGAAGTAGCTACACCTAATGCTGGCTATTAAGTGGCATTTAGCTGAGAATGAGTAAATGAATTCAGAATAAGCAAGGCTCCAGAAGCTGCATTCTCTCCCTGTCAGTTTTTAGCTGTAGAGATGTACCTACAAAGTATGACAGAGAATGAGGAAATGAGACATCTCTTCAATCCTTGTTTTCTTTCCACTAATACATCAGCACACATACAAATGACAAAATGTTGTCCAGAAGAATCATTGGCTGTGAGCTGAGGTCTTTAGGACTGTGAAGGGCCTCAGAACAGGACTAAACTTCTTTTGGATAGAGAATGCACCAATTTGCTTTTGTACAACAGCCAGTGCAATAAGGCTAGGATTCCAATCACAGCCTCTTGGCATTTCACTACCGCTTTCACATGTTTCCTTCTGTTTCAATAATATTATTGAAATATCATGATCTTTAGCATCATTAATCCAAGTTGAACAGGAAGTTTCTAGTTGGTAAACCACACCAGCTGGGACGAAGAACCATTAGAAGTAATAATCTTCAAACAGACAAGTTTGAACCAATGTGTGTTAAAAAAGAGAGTAGCAGAAGAAATATCTGCTATTAATATTAGAAAAGGACAAGGGCAGAAAGAGAAAAGGGACTCCAGGAGAGATTTCCCCATCTTCACTACGTGAATATAAAACCCAGATCATTAAGCCGGCATTTTGGACTCAGTTTTAAGCATGTAATCCATGCATAGATACAGGAAAATACAGTTGTTATTTAATCACAGTTCAGATTAGAATGTCTCCAGGATTGTGTCTTCTATTTAAGTTTATCCTATCTTACATAGGATAAACTTACATAGTCTTACATAGGCAAGACTATACAATGCAAAACCATTTAAAAATCAAAGCTAGCTACTGTTTATTTCACAGAACAAACGTGAAACCACAAAATCAAATATCATACACCTTTATATGTGAATGAGGAATCGCATATGATTTGTGTTTTATAAGATTTGAAAAAATTAGAAATATAAACCCCGCATTTGGAAATTTAAGAATTATGTAAATGGTAACTGATCTAAGCATTTCTGAAAGGAAACAAAGTCAGTACTAATGGATACATTGGTTAAGGCAAAATTTTTCTTGACTTCCAGCAAACACCTCGCAAATCTATGCCACTGATTATGAGAGTATAAAGAAGTAACGTGATTATCAAAACACAATGCTCCTACAAGCCTTCAGAATGCATACTGGTAATGTTCCCCCTCCCCCTCATTAACTGCCCTGATAAGAAGGAAATTTTGCTGTTAACTTTATTGCCTCTACCAGAAAAGTCCACTTGTAGCCAGCAAGAACTCCAGCCAACCAAGCTTTTTCCATTTAAAAGACCTGCCTCCCATTTTTACCTGATCAAATCATAGAAGAGATAAGCAACGAGAACTAAATACTTGTTCTCCACATTGCGTGAAATCACAGGAATTGGAATTTCGCTGTGAAAGGATTTTTTCAGACTCTTGGTTTCAAAGAGGATGTCTAAACACAGGTTTGTTACTTAGCAACTATCACTGTAGTTATGCCACTGGGAATACTTGAGTCCTGGCAGAATTAGAGACGTTTGTTGAACAGCTTGAAGATTCTGTGTATCACTACATGGTCTGAACTGATTTTGGTGCAGAAATTTCAAATCTTAACAGCTTTCTTAAGAGAATCTACCTAAATTCCACTTTCTTTACTGCATCCATTTCTATTGTTCCATTTAATAATTAGCATTATCTTTTTCCTAAGATCATGAGATCTGAAATCTTACACAAGTTATGAAATAAACATGATGCTGTACGTAATATTATGCACACACTGAAACTGGCTAATACAGTATTTGCACTGAGAAAATACGCAACTGTAGTTGCATAATTTTATTAAAACAAGGCACATTACATTACGTATTACATTACATATTACATCAATTTTGTTATACTATAGTGTCGCATGTTCATTCCGTTCTATGTTGGTCACAAGATCCTTTGTGTCTCCAGTTCCATCACTATTAAAATACAAATTGTTCTCAAAGCTGTCATTTGTTGACAAGCGATTCTTTCTTCTTTTGTAGAAGAGATAGCCTGCAAGGCTGCTTCCAGCAAGGATGATGACGACAACAATAACTACAATTCCTGTTTTACCATGGCTTAGAGTAGGGGCCTCCTCATCCTTCGTCATTGCTGAAAACAAATATAAATAATAAATTGATTTTAAAAAGCTAGCTGCATTTCATATCACAAATTTTTATTTTAAAGTTTTGTTCAGATACTCATTGGAGTATATCATTGTCTACTAGGACATAATGTGCTCCTAGGAAATACCCAACTACTTGGAAAAGGTAGGAATATGTAGAAGATCCTACAGAAAATGTAGGATGCATGATATAAAATATGATTTTATTTTTTTTTTTAAATGATCTTCCACTGGATACTTTTTTGTCTACCTAAAAGAAAATAAGCAAGTATCCTTACCCTTTGTAGGCATTTCAGCTGGTGGCATTTCAGCTGATGGCAGTATTTCAGTTGCTGGTATTTTGAAACATTGAAGAAGAATTATGTTATTATTACTTTTTTATTTATTTATTTTATATTAAAATTATGCAATTTGAAGAATCATAGTGAAAATCATATTCAGAAAAATATACAGTAATACAAATCTCACACAAAGCTCTACACATATATCAAAAGTCAAAGCGCAGTGGTCTATAGTGCTATGGTCTCTCATGTATGAATTTACATAAACTAGCAGAATAAATATACCAAATTGAACATCAAAGAACATCAATGAACACTATGGGGGCAGATTCCCACACCAGAGTAAAACCACAAGAAAAACTATACAGCTTCTTTAGGACAGACATGCTCAAACACAATCCTCAGTACAATCATAAATCCTTGTAGTACTCATCATTCTACATATTAATAGGAAATATATTTATTTTGCTAAGAGATGACTTGCCTCCACAGACAATTAAGTCTATTCCTGAACTCCAAAGTGTCTTAGCATGTACTGTATTCAGTTCTGAGCTCTACAGTTCAAGAAAGATAGGAAACTTCTAGAGAGAGAGCACTGAAGAGCTTCTAAGATGATGAGGGTACTGGAGCATCTCCCTTATGAGGAAAGGCTGAGAGACTTCAGCCTGGAGAAGTCTATGAGGGTATCTAATCAATGCTCGTAAATTTGAAGGACAAGCTTCAATAGGATGGGGCTAGGCTCTTTCCAGTGATAGGGCAAGCGGCAATGGGTACAAACTGGAACACAGCAAGTTCCACGAGGAAAAAGTTCTTTACTTGAGAGTGACAGAGCACTGGAGTAGACTACCTGGAGAGTTTGTGGAGTTGCCTTCTCTGGAGATATTCAAGACCTGCCTGGACACTTTCCTGTGCAACCTCCTGTAGGAACCTGCCTTAGGCAGGAAGTTGTACTAGACAATCTTCAGAGACGCTCCCAATCCCTACAATTCTGATTCTCTGACATCTTATAGTGAAATGCCATGAATATAATATTCCTAACCAAGTCCAATCCACTAGCACCTGTAGAACTGATGAACTGTTGTTTAAACTACCTACTTATTTACAAAACTATAAGTTAGATTATTCATGCAATAGATCAGCTCCAAAATTTCAAGTTACTAAGATAATTTCTACTTTAGCAAGTGGAACAGGATATAGCATCTATTTTACAGGAAAATTTCAGTCAGTTTTGCATTTGCAGCCTTTTCAGAAAGCAGCAAACATTGCAAGGCACTGTGAAAGAAACTAAGTAAAATGATGCTTCTAACACTCCATTTAGTACTACCACAGTTTTGCAAAATTCTGCTGACCTAAGCTACATTACTACAGCAGCATAAGACTCAAACAAGACCTGTCCCCCAGTGAGCAACTACGTAGTCCTTGCATTGATACTAGCATTGCACTGACTCAGTAACATTCCAGCTCAGGAAGCTAGATTGGTTGAAGCTAATCAAAACTATTTTTCACCTGTTTCACCTCTCAGAATTGGTATAGTATCAGAACAGGTGAATAACAGTGTCAGTAAAAAGAAGAGACGTGAATGGTTGAAAAGAAAGGGGAGGCCATTAATTGCAACATTTGTTATCTGCCTCTATGACTATTTTAGTAAAAGAATTAAAATAAATTGTCCTTTCATTTTCCAGTCACAATGTAAAAAGACAGATAGTAAACTCTGAATGGATGACTAAGCCCAACAGTTCTACAGTATTTCCTGTGAAAGATACAGTCACCGTTACAAGTATCTGAGTAAGTCACGAAAAATGCAGCATGAAAGCAAATTCTTAGGAAGGACAGCAGAATTTCTCTCATTTTAGGGAACTGAACATCTCAGCCCCTAAATGTATTTTGTTCTCCTCAGTAAATATTAGTAAGAGATTGTAGATATCGCAATACAAACTGGAAGAAATGAGTGGTATGAGTTTTAGGAAAACATATGCCCTAAATGTGCCAGATTTGCACATTCTGTTATTTCAGGAACATTATAGTTCATTACATACAAACTATGCTATTTGCCTTAATTTTTATTTGCCTTCTCAAAACAGCAAAACATAGAGATAAAATATCAGAACTGATTGTTAATTCACAATTCAAAAATAATCAATTAACAGAAGAGCTGCTTTACACTGGGAAATAACACACATATGAGCCTGCCAGATGGAAACGAGTAAAGGTTATCCCCCCGTACTAAAAAGAGGGGATTTCCTGAGGAATATATTTTCAAATAAACTAATTTGTGTGTGCAAAGAACATTAACAACATGATAACTGAACAACTGTCAACACAAAACAGGCAGACTCGTAAAGGGCATACACTAGGAACAGTTGAGATAGAAACAGAATATTTTCAAAACAATTCAAAGGGATCTAAATGCTAATCAGCCCTTCTACTTTCCTACAAGAGTTATTCTTTCTTTCTGTTGGCATGCAAATGTCGTTCTCTTCTTATTTATAAAAACCCAAAATGCTCAGCTAAAATGCACTGTGTGTAAAAGTCATCTACTAATACTAGCACACAATAAGAATACTCCTTACGTTAAAAAAAATATAAACATAGCACTTACTTTTTAGCTTTTTACAAACATAGCCTTTGTAGGAAGTGCAATAGATATTATTCCAGTATCCAGAGTTTGCATACATTTCAACGCAGTGCTCATTTTGTTGAGGGGAAGGCTCTCCTGTATTCCAGTTGACAAAATTCACCGCAGTGTTGTCTAGCCACAGCCATTCCCCTGAGTGGGAAAATATTGAACACACTCAAAAACAAGATAGCATTCATTTTCTGCTCTGCGTTTATTGCCTTCTTGAGAAATCTACTTGATTACTAGCTTTCCCTATTACCTTTTCTAATTCCTCTTGAAATGCAATAGAGAAGCGTAATATAAAATTTTTAACACCTATATCAAACAGTTTATGGCAATTATTCATAAAAAAAAAAAAGTCGAAATTAAAGAAATTACCATCTACATTTCTGTACATTCCAGTCCAAAATGTTGATGTCTTCCCTTCCAGTGGTTCAATTACGTATGTCAGAAAGCTGGCTTCAGCTGAGTCTTCAACTGATACCAAAGAGGCACCTGCAATATCCAAAGAGAACAAAGATCTCAAAGTCTTACAGTGCAATGCACTCTTGTTGTCAATCTTATTTTTTCCACTGATTATCTGTGCCAAGTTCCAGGTAGGTTTTGAAATTCAGAATTAAACCTAATTTTTGATAATATCAAATGAAGAACTCTTGTATTTTTGCTGATGTATTTCTTACCATTTCTAAGGCATTGCACTAGCACTATTTTCTTATCACTGGTAAATAGCAACAAAACTGAACAACAGCTCAGGAAAAAATACAAGCCAATATGTTACACAGTAATAATTTCTACTGATGTTTTAATATTAAAAAGTCTCGACACAAAAATCACAAGATTAAAGTAAAAAGTAGCTGTCTCTTCAGTCTGTGCACAATTTAACTTCACATATTGATGATTAAGTATTTTCCAAGCCTTTATATAGATCATGCATAGCACATTTGCTGGCTTTCTGAAGCACAATCATCTCTGAAACTCTTCAACTAGGTCTTGTTTATTTCCCTATATTCTGACTGCAGTCATCATAGAAAGAAAAATCATGCTGGTCATCTGTTGCCCAGTTAGCATGGTAGATATCCCGTTAGTCATTCACATACAATACTAGGCATTCTGCCACAATGATTCATTCTGTTTGATGCTGTGGCAAAGTCAAGACATCACAGCATGAAGCTTGCAGTGTGCCAGCAGAGAGAATGAACTATGTAACCTTGTTTGGAATGTCATTAAACACTAAATTTAGTAGTGTTCAGGTCTATTCCGTGAGTCTACAATCCAGTCAATACTACAACAGTTGCTTTGATTGGGCTATCGAATATTTGAAAGTATTTTTCTCAGGTAAGGAAGGTAGAGTTAAAAAGAATGAAAATATGAAAGAAATGGGGAGTACTGTTGAGCTAGAGATAAATTCTAAAAATTCTATTGTGGATGAGATATAATTGGAAAATGCCCAACTGCAAACAAAAAACAGAGTGCAAGTAGGGACAGCAAAATATAGGAGAACATGAACGTTCCTCTTTTTTCACTGTAGTCTTCATGTTTTTCTACTTGTTCCTCTTTTGCAGAATGATTCAGATATTTTGTTACTGTTACGTTTGTCATGAAAAAACTTCTCTACACATCCTGAACACAGAGAGACATTAGCAGAGGTGGTACCCAAGAAGTACCATTCGTTGGCTACTCCTGATTAATCAAAGAAGCCATTAGCCCACCAAAGACCACTTTTCCCAAGCCCAGAGAAGCAAGAGGGAGAACTCAAATTATGGACTAGAGAAAGGTACACCATCCTGTACAGTTCTGTTCTAGGGCCACTATACAACAGCCTCAGCATCAGTGTCCAAGCGTTAAAGACATCAAGGCAAATAAATGGCGAGTTGAATATGAGTCAACTGCATGCCCTGACAGCCAAAAGGGCCAACCACATTGTAGAGCATATCATGCAGAGAATAGTGAGCTAATCAAGGAAGTGACTGCCCCACTCTGCTATACAGTGGTGCAGCCTTAACTTGGGCATTGGGCGCAGGCCTAGGCACCACAATATAAGAAGGAAATTAAACTATCAGGATTCAAAACAGGAATAATCGAAGTGCAAATCATATCAGGTATGCAAATGATAAACAATTCCACTAAACCAAGATTTAGCGATTGCTATTTTGTGATGAGGTTGACTATTTCCTCACAGGGCCAAAGGACAAAGTTTCCTCTTTTTGACCTCCACTCCAGGCCACATAGCTCTTCTAATGCCTGGTACACATAAAAGGCAGCATGTACCAGTGGTAGACAGCTATTTTCCATCTCTCCAAAGGTAATAATTAGATTTAACTATCCAACACTTGGACCATTCTTGAAATCACAAAATGTATATTGCATGTTCAGCTTTCCACAGAGAGAAAAAAGTCCAAAAGATGAGCTCTTTAATTGATGATACTTACCCAGTCGAAGACATTCTAATGATGCCTGAGCCCAGTTCCTTGTTGATGAAGATTCTATATAGTAACAATGACCTCGGAAAGGAATCCAAGAACGGTGTCCTTCTGATTCAGGACACTTCCCTGGAAGCTGAGGGGGTTCAGTAGGAGCTTGAACTGTAAAAAAGAAAAAGAAGGAAAGGGAAAGGAAAAAGTTTACAAACACACTGTCATATACATTCTTTTATCACAGACTATTCTAACAGAAAATTAGAAAACTTATTCAAGTGTTTAACAAAAGTTAACTTGACAGTCTGTACTGCTTACTGCAACACAACAGTAAAATGTCCTTAATCCATGAAAAAAAGTATTTCAATTGCAGCCTTGAGAAATCCAATTTATCAAAGAACCCTAGCACACTGTTATGTTTTAACACATTTTTATCTCTACTCTTTAGTCACTGTAATAGCTAATTTGGGGGGGGGGGGGGGGGGGAGGAGAAAAGATTTGAAGGAGCGTCTGTAAACGTTTCAGTAATTTCAATGTAATTTGTTGTTCAGCAATAAAGGAAAAACCTGGAAAGCTGCTAAGAGAAAACACCCCTTGTAACGCTTTATGGCTTGGTCACTCAGCCATTCTCCTTTAACACCATACCAGTGTGGCCACTATTCATTACCTTTTGATTCAAGTTCCTTCATTTTTTTTACATGATGATATCAGAGTAAAATTTATATATAACTATTAATGTAAAGCAATGGCTACTCAGTCACACTAGCTTTGTTTTTTTGTGTTGGCCCTCACTTTAAGGCAGGTTCTTTAATTTCAATTAAATTTAAATAATTTCATTTGTTTTGTTCCTGAAATAAAACACAGCATCTTAATACATATCAACATACCACCCAGCATGATTAACTAGACGATCAATACAATTGCAATAGTTAGATTCCAGTTCTTACCATCAGGCTTTTTGCAAACAGAGAAGTAACTTTCATTGCAGGATCCCGTCTTCCAGGATCCAGAAATGTCTAGATAAACACAGCCTATTTTTTGCTTTGGCTCTCCTTCAGCCCACTTAGTATACTTCATTCTCCAGTTATCAATCCACTCATAACGCCCATTCGTCTGAAAATGAAACCCCAGGAATTCAGTATTAACCATTTCTTTGTCAGTCAAACGTCTGTTATGAAGATGCCTGTGCAAGAAGTTTTCATTTAGGGCAAAAAATGATTTTTAGCAAAAAGAAGTGCAGATTAAGTGACACTGAATGAATTCTAAAATTAACAAAACTCTTAACTTGAATGTACTAATAATTTAACTTACGATAGTTTTTAGGAGTAAAGTGGAAAGAGTAATTTTTTTCCCCTTGGGCTTCAAGAAATATAGAATATTTTATGTTAAAGTACATTTAAAAAACAATTTATCTCCTACCTATGCTTGTGAAAGCAACTGAATAATTTAGTTAAGTATGAAGAATATTTTATTATTTAAGAAATGGTATATTATGCCCACTAGTTTTTACTGCCTTTGTGTGTTAAGCCAAGTGGAGGGAATGCGGGACCAGTGCCTTTGCTGAGCAGAAAAGAAGGCTTAATTTAATACAAGAATGTACCTGAATATCAAGGGAATGGGAGAAGGCAGACAAATAAAATAAGATAAATCAATTATTTAATAATTTGGCTAACTATCATCAAAACGTTGGAAGAGTTACTGTAACAGAACCAATGTTACCTTAGAATAAATGATTTTCACTGTACAACTTAAAATACGTGGATTTTATCTCAAAATAAACACTATACACTCTCTACAAAGAGATAATTCAAAATGCTAGCCTGGAATGTATTGTTTGGAAATGCATAGAGCTTAATGTCACAGAAAAAGTACTAAAAGTTTGTATGCTGCATACAATTTAGGAAGAGTAATGGAAGAGTAGAGATCTCTACCTGTAGATCTGACAGTAAAAAAAAGTATTTAGGACCAAGATATTAATTTATAAGTTAAAAATATAAAGATATAATATGACTTTGCATTTTCTAATTTTTCCCATAAGAAAAGCAACAGCACACTCAAATAATTTGATGCTCTTACCACATTACTGTTAAGGCCAATCCATATAGGTACCCCATACTTTAATATCTTTAGCCACAGGAATGAATGACTGTAGGGGTCTAAGATGCTGGAAAGGTCAAACTGATCACGTTTGCAGTTTTCTCGTGCATCTTCCCAATTCATTTTAGTACGGATGAACAAATAACTACTGTTCCCATAACGGATAATGCTTTTTGGGTCTGTAGTTGTAGAAGGGATAAACTCAGCATCTGTACAATAAAGGAAGAAAAAACAGCTCATATACTAGTCCAACAGGTGATTATGATTTGCTTTTAATTGTAAATAAGATACAGCATCCTGTCTCTTTTCTATATTTCATATTCCCTGACCACCATGGGTTAAACATGCTATTCTGTAGGCCAGACTCTGTAATAAAAATCAATTACAGAGCTATCAAAAGGAAAAAACTGTCTAGAGCAACTCACAACAAAAAGTGAAGGAGCATTCTGTGTAATCTCCCAGAACAGTATAATTTAAATTGGGAATAACAACTTAAATGAATTGGGAATAGAGTATGACACAACTTTTCATCAACAGAAGTGCTTTGCTTGTTGTTTTCAAGAGATCTTTTTGCCAGAGAAAATGTAAACTACAAAATAGACCAGCTCTTACAAATCAATCTGATATTTAAAGTCAGGTTTCATTGTTTTTAGTTTCCTCTTGGAGGTAGATCAGCTCAAGCTCATTGTGAATGAGTTACATTCGCACTCTAGACAGTTCATGCAGCTTGTACAATTTAGCATTCCCCAGAATACATTCTAAAAGCCAATATGTTCAGAAAATGACTGACAAAAATCACAGAACAATTATCATTCGGATATATTTCTGATATATCAGTTTCTTAAAATGCATTGTTTTAAGCTATAATACTATGCACAGCAAAATTAGAACTGTTACTGCTGAAAAGCAGCCATTGGTCTGCAGGTACCACCCTTACAGTGAAATTTCATACTAAACACGAATACTTAGATATAAATTCCAGCTCAGGAAGTTAGTAACACAGCATTTACTGGGAGGAATCAGCTGGGAGTAATCTCTAAGTCGACCTTTGGTCTGACAAACATGATACTGATGTTCCTGACTGAAAAGCAATTTGTTGATGTATCTTTATTAAGAATGAAATCATGTTGAAATCCAGCACTTAACACCTCAGCAAGATCCTGCAAACTCATAAGCTTTGATTATACTTTAAAAGAAAACAGCAATACCTGCTTTAATTTGGCATATATATCCTCTGTTGTTATCACAACTCTCATCAGCCCACTTCCCTGCTTCCTTAACAGGATTATTTCTCATGACAACACAATCAGCCTTGGGGCAAGAACATACAAAATCAGTTACAAATAACTAGAAAATATAAATAAGAAACTTCAGTCTCTCATTTTTGTCTTCACACAGAAATAACATTCTAATTTTATTTTCATATCTTCATAAGTTTTTAATGATGTGGAGTTTCTGTTCCTCTTGCCACTTCGTGAGTTTCTTAATGTTGCTCTATCTTGAGCAACCTTGTGGTGAATAGGCAGACAAGAACTTTCTGGACCCTCCCCATCTCCGGGCATACAGCATGAAGAAAAGGAAAGCCACAGACAATTTAAAGAGAAATTAAATCAACTACTGTAGAAAAGATTAACTTTGCTCAAGAGAAAAAAAAAAAAAAAAAACAAAAAAAAACAGGAGCTTCAATGGACAATGTCACATTTCTGAAATATCAGTCTCTTTAAATTTCTTATTGCAAGCTATAATACTAGGCAGCAAACTCAGGACAACTGCTACTCAAAGGCAGCCTTTGAGTACCACCTTTACAGTGAAATTTCAAATTCTACTACAGGGACACAGTATCTAGAAACTTTGTTAGCACATATTAAACAAAGACTGTCTAATACACTATTTTCTTAGTAAATTTTGCTATCCAGCAAAAACTACACAAAGAAAAACTTATAGTAATACATAGTAAGTAAAATGCACTGACATTTAAATATCTCCAATTGAAAAGCTGCAAAGTACTTTTATAAACTATGATATGTCCTTTCTTTTTGCTGAGGTGAAGTAAAAATAAATTTGAAATTTATAAAGTAGAGACTAAAATTTTTCACACTATAGCACATAGCACCTGTCAACAGCTAACACAGCAACTTATTGGATTTGTATGTGACGTGTAAGGTTTGTAAGTGATCACTTTATCAACACAATACGTAACACCATGAATAACACCTAAAGTAATGCTTAAAAATGCCAGGTTTCTGGGGAAAAAAAAAAACAACTACGGCGAGGTCAGTGCTGCTAGTAAATTCTATAGATATGAAACTAGTAAAGTTTCAAATCCCAGCAAATGCCTAAACGCATAATCTAAAAGCACTTATCAATGGACAGTTTGTGATCGCTATTTACCTGGCCATCGTATGAGTATGATCCCATATGTCCTGATGGGAAGCCTTTGGCCCAATTTGTAAAGTAAACTCCTGTTCCATCTGTCCAGAGGAACTTCAGTTCATGATTTATATCATTTAATCCAATCCATGTGTCAGTAAGAAAATCTTTCATATGGAAGGTGAGGAAAGCTGGAGTTGAAGAAAATAATAATTAAAAAAAAGAAAAAGAGAGAAAGAAAACAAGAAATATTTTCCATGAAGGGTGATTGAACCTAGGTGTCAGACCTCACTGTCATTAATGGCATCTGGTGATATTAAGTATTTTACTGAAATAAAGAACAGTTTATTACTGGCAAGACAAATAGATATGATAAAAAGGAGGTGACTTTTGAATTTAACAGATAACCAACATATATACCTGTTGCAACATACTCGAGCTAAACATCTAACCTTGCAGTGGGATGAATTCCAAAAGCATGACAGGAATAGTTTTACAGGGTCTCAAAACATTTTTGAATCCCAATTCTACAACTGATTTAGAAATATGAAGTGGTGTAGATTATATACATTTTTTATAATCCCACCAGAGTGGTTATGTTATTGTGGCATCATAGAGACAACACAACTGAGCATCAACCACTCATTCAGCTGCATTTATAATAGCAGAACTGTTTCCTCACTGGAGAAAGTGTAGTAAGTAGCCTGAACTGCCATAATAAGCAACAGAATGTATGAGAGAGATGCTTTAAAATGAGTCTCAGAAGAGCAATTACCACAGCTTTGCAAATTCCAAGAAGGTGCTTGTTCATCCTAGCTAGTATGGGTAGATGAAAAACAGAGCAGGCTAGGTCAGCTGGCATTCATCAGCCCACTAGACCACAGTAAACCAAACAGTTTGCTAAAATAAAATTGCTAAAATAAAATTATGATGCCTTTTGCCAATTGCTAGTCAACATTATGAGCTCATTCTTCTCTAAAAATAGATAAATTTGTCTACTCTACCCACACACCTTCTTTCAGTCTTTTAAAATGAATGCAACTTACTTAACATTTCCAAGAGTAAGACCTATAAATTTCCATGCCTAATGTTAGCATTCTGCTCCGCAAGAAACTGTAACAAGAACTCAAATCTTTATACCTACACTATCAGCAGTAACAATAGTTTAGTTGGTCATTTGTAGTTTTATTGGTTATTTCATTCTTTCCCAGAATTCAAGCCCTGCATGAGTCATCTGAGAAACTGTAGTTTTATGTTATAAAAGAATTTAATCATGCTCAGTAAGTCTGTGAAAGTTTGACTCTTCATCTCTTCAAGTGTGGAAAAAATTAAGTAGTGCTAAGTTCATGTTAGCAATCTAACATTTTAGCTAATTAACTAGTTAAACCAGTTAACTGCTCAAAGTGCAACTTGTTTTACAAAATATAATTTTTCAGATCTTTTGAGTTCACAAATAGTATGCATTATGCAGTATCTATTTCTCAGTGTAGTTTAAAACAATATTTCTAAAAAGAGAAGTTATTAACATCTATCAAAATCTCTCCTAATTTAATGCATCATTTTTATTCAAGCATGGGATATCTCCCCATTTACCCAATCAACGATGTGATTCTTGTAATCATTAAAACAAGCTTCTCTAGTGAAAAGAATGATGCAACTATGAAGTGAGTAATGGCTAGGTGTATGATCAGTCAAACCCGTGCCCCAAACTGCCCAGAGACAGCAAGTTTTAAGCCCAAAGGCATTCTGCTTGAGTTACAGTGGAAAACCTTGCAGTGAGTTAACGCCAACTAGTGAAACTACATCACTTGGAATGAAACTTGCTGGGTCCAGCTGGCATCATGTACAGGCAGAAAAAGCACTACTTAGGTCACCAAGATAATATGTATTCATCTCTAAGCCAGCAGTAGAATTTGGTAGATTCAGGTGCAGATTTCACTGTAAACTTCTAAGTATTGTATGTTATAGAACCAAAATCAGATGAAAAAAATCATTCAAACGTTGTCCATGTTTACACAAATACAACCATCTGTAAAAATTAAATGTCATCTCATCTGGTTGATACAGAACTATTTGCAGTACCTTGCACTTGTTCATTAGGGATAGCAGCCAGGTTTCCTCCTAAATTCATGCAAGCTGTTCGTGCGGCATGCCAAGTGACACGTTCATCTTCTGAAGATCCAAATATTTTGTAACACTAAAACGTGAACAAACCCTCCATTTATTACCTTTACTCCAACATCACTTACAGATTGAACATCATTTCAAGCAAAGCAGGAAGGAGAAAATGTGGTGAAATAACAGATTTAACTGGGACAAAACACATTCTGCTCAAAATGAACTCTTGAATTTGGTCCATTCTCTAGGTAAAATGTAAAGTTTCAAGAAAACATTCTCCTAAACAAGACGCATACTAGATTTCATTCGAAATTGGTAGAAAATAAGCAAAACCTGACTTTTAATGACAGACAACTAATATTAATAGCTCTACAAGACCAATATCAATCCATTAGTTTGTTTGTATTTTTATTTTTTTTTTATATAATTTGACTCGACAAAACTTTTCACAGTTCTACAGTCAAGAAAGGCAAAATATATTCATTACTGAAAGAGCATTATAATTTGATTAAAATATATGACCAAAGTGTCAATACTTCAAGAACTATATCTAAATTCTTTAGGAAATGCACTAAAAAAGGCTTGAAGAGAAGACTAAATAATGACTTTCATAAACTGCAACTAAATATGTTTATACATCATTTCTAATGAAGTGTCAAAAAGCAAAATAGTGAATGGGCAAACAAAGAAAAACACGTAGACATAAACCTGCTCTCTGGAAAAAAATAACAATGTTACTGCAATAAGAAACAACATTATTAAATAATCTCTTTCCTTTTATTTAATGCTTTGCCAAACATCCAACATGCTCTGAATTTGTTATAGTACCTTATTCTGAAAGGAAAGCCAAGTTGGATTACATCCTCTTGGAGTTGAAAATGTTGTTGGAGGAAGTGTGGAATTAATGGAACTGTTGTGCCTTTCACATATGTAGGGATTTGGATAACCACAATTTATATCATTCCAAAATCCTAAATGTGAGATAAAAAGGGGGACTGTATGTTGCCATATCCAGAATTAGTTAGATCAAAATAATTTACACTCATTCTGAAACAAAGGTGAAAGATCAAATCCAAAGTCCTCAGTTTATTATCATTCTATATCAAAATCTAGGATAAATATGGCACTTCAGATATGCTGTCATGAACATTGAAAGCAATGTAGAAACGAGTTCTATAGTGACACAGTAAGTCATTTTCATTTAAAAATATAAAACAGTTGCATAGCAATCATAACCACAAACTTCTATCTGAGCTTCCCCATGTTATATTTAAGATAAACATAGGAACTGAGAAATGTTAAGTCCAAACTATAATACTGTGGTCTTTTGCAACAATATACAACAGCAAACAAAGAAGAAAAAAAAAAAAAAAAGAGAGAGAATGGGTGCCTCTCAGAGGAAAAAATTTGGGACACAAGCACATAAATAAAGAAATTTAACAGCAAACATACAGAACTCACCTAAATTTTTATACATGACTACACAGTTTTCATCATTATTTGCAAAGTTAGGTTCATGTGGTGCCCATGCCAAATAATTCACTGGTGTGCCATCCATCCAGCTTAAGAAAAATAATCCAACAAATCACTTCTTTAATATTAGTAGGATTGATTTCATATTTAAAAAAATGTCATTTTGCAGTATCTTTAGTACAGCCATTCACAGTTTAATGTGTACAAGGTTTTTTGACTGGTTTGTCTCGCTGCCAACTGCATTAGAACTATTCTCCTTGCATAAACATAGTATGTGTGCTTACTTTTTGATTTAAACAAGCAGACATTTCTACAGCTGATAGGACAATACCCAAAATATCCATCCAGGCCAACATGAAAGCTGGACATCATTTCAGAATGAGATAGTACATACACTCACCATTTTCCCTAAGTCATGCATTCACTTTACTTGTTACACAGATAAGCGATTTTAGTCATAACACAAGCAAAATGCTTGATTATTCTACTATGCAGATGAAAAATTGTAACAAATTTAGGACAGCATACACATTTGCAATTAAAAACATCAAGCATGAAATAATAATCCCTGGAAATACTGAGTGAAACTTAAAAACATTTTCATGCACTTTGACAGGATACAATTTCATTCAAGCACTTCACAATTTTTTTCTCTGCTCAACAAATGCAACCATGATGGTTCACATTCACCTACCTTGTCCTTTGATCAACACTCAGTTGCAAACCAATGAAATATGCTTCCTCTTTGCCATTTTTCAAGATCTAGAATATAATAGTTAATATTGTATATGCTTACTCCTCTTATCACAAAATCATTAATAATGAGTAATATATTATTTATTCACAGGGAATACAGATTGCTATATTTTCTAGCTACAACAGCAAACTTAAAGTAGACACTTCACCACTGACCAAAAAATTTGCTTACTATATTATCACTTTTTACAGTCTTACTTGAAAGTCAGTGAAATTCTCAATTCTTCAACAGCCTCTATGGCAGACATCATCTACAAACACTGCAAGAAACAAACCCTCCTACAACTTGGTTGTCAATATAGGCTCGTGTCAACTCACTGACATCCTTCAGCAAGATCAGGGAAGGTTTCAAGTAAATTGAATCTGATTTCTAGATTACTGACTTAAAGAAGGTGGTCTGAAGACAGAAATCAGGCAACTAACTTTCAGTCACCAAGGAAACATCATCTAAAAGCTCTTTGCTCATAGTCTGCCACTCAAGTACTTCACCCCTAATTATGCTCCATAGGACAATTTTGTCCTTCTGCCTCCCTGACCAAAAAGAGGTTGCTAGATAGACTACATCTCAGATACACTGACAAATTCAAAAGCCAATGTTCAGAGAGTTGTGTGTAAACAAATACCTATTTTGATTCACTACTTCAAATGTTTCATCCATCATCTTTCAGTTAACTCACTTGCCCTAGCAAATTGTAGCTCAAGATTACAATGGTTCTTGCTAAAACAAAGCCGAAAATTAATTAAAACTAAGCATTAAGACATTAGCAGTTGCAGATAGATACAACGGAATCAATGATCTTTGTGGGCCCCTTCCAACTTGAGATATCCTATGATTCTATAATTCTATGATAATATGTTCTAACTGCCACATGGTATAATTTAAAAGCAAATAACTTACTGTACTTATTTCTATACACAAAAGGCCCTGTCTCTGATAAGAAGCAATCTAAAAAAAAAAAAAAAAACTTGGATTTATCATACATTTTCATCTGGCTTAATGCTACTGCAGTTTCACTGACTCCACTGTTATAAAACTTGTAAGGAGAATAACAGATTGAACAGGACTTGTGAACGCACTCATTTCCTCTGGATTATTGCATAGGATTAATTAATTTTCCTTACATATCGCCAGAGGAACTTTCTTTCAGTTTCACTCTCAATGACTGCCAGATCTCCAAAGTTCTGTTTGCAAAACTCTCGACCTTTTTCCATTGGAACACTCTCCGTGCTGAAATAATAATGTCTGTCTTCATTTATAATCCATCCATCCTCAGTAGTCACATACTCTGCAAGATAAATAGTAAGCTAACTATACTGTTAGTAAGGTACAAGATATTCTCATTAGTATAATTTTAAAAACACGCTTAAACACACATACACTGTAGCAAAAGCAAGAACACTTACTGGGTACAGGAGATTCTGTTGGTTCGGGCTTTAAACTTGCACCTGTAAGAAAACGGAATTTAATATAACAGTAAGAGAAAATGTTTACCATGAGCGATAGGCATGCCTCTTAACACTGAATTTTATGTTAGCCATGGATTTAATACCAAAAACTAGAAGGAACTAAATGGTCTAAATCTCTTATTTTTGGCCAATTTTAAATAAAAAATCCTGTTCCCTGATGCTCTAAATATAAACTATTCCTAATGTGCAAGGCACTTTATAATATCCTGATATTTGCCTAAATTAAATGATCGTATTTGATATTCCCTAAATGCTGAAAATCTTATGTCTCAGGGCATTCTTGCTATTAAGACTGTCCTGTTTCTCCCACCTTTTTTAGCAGGAATCATAGAACAGCTTGGGTGGGAAGAAACTTTAAAGATCATCTAGCTTCAACCCCCTGTTGTGGGTAGGGTTACCATGAATCAGTTCAGGCTGCCCAGAGCCCCAGCCTTCAATGCCTCCATGGATGGAGCACACACAGTTCCTCTGGGCAGCCTGTCGCAGTGCTTCATCACCTTCTGAGTAAAAAATTTCCTCCTAATATCTAATCTAAATATCCCCTCTTTCAGTTTAAAACCATTCATCCTTGTCCTATCACTATCAGACTGTAACAGGTCTGTCTCCCTCCTGTTTAAATACTACTTTTAAATAGTGGAAGGCTGCAATGAGATCTCCCTGGAGCTTTCTCTTCTCCAGGCTGAACAAGCTCAGTTCCCTCAACCTTTCTTCATAGGAGAGGTGCTCCAGCACTCTGATCATTTTCTTGACTCTCCTCTATTCCTGCTCCAACAGTTCTGTCCTCCTTGCGCTGGGGACCCCAGGCCTGGATGCAGTACTCAAAATGGGGCCTCACAAGAGCAGAGGAGGACAATCAATTCCCTCACTCTGCTGCCACCTCCCTTCTGAAGCAGCTCAGGATACAGTTGGCCTTCCAGACTGCAAAGCTGACCCATGTCCAGCTTTTCATCAACCAGGTTGTTCTCTCAGAACAGAAAGAGCTTACACTGAGATCTTAAAAATCTCCACAGAGAAAATCTGACTGGAAAATATATACTTCCAAGAAATTAACTGGTCTGTCCTAAAAATAATATTTCAGGTTACAGTATATCCCTGTTTGATTTGGTTATGGCACAACAGAGATAGATTCATGACATCATTATTATCACAGAAAAACAATTTCTAAAACAGGACATCTCTCTACAGGTTTATCAACTTTGTTTGTACTACAAATAATCTCATTTATATTGAGATTATTTATAAAATAGTAATATAAAAAATAAATATTATATATATTATATTTAATATATAATATATAATATAATATATATTATATATGTTATATATATAGTATAAAAAATAACATAAAATTTATATTGACATTATATTAATAAAAAATTAAATGCCCAAGTAATCCTTTTACCAACACACAGTAGATTTGGTAGCTTACTGTCAATAATCTGATAATTACAAATAAGACATCCTTGTTTTGCTCCTTGCCCTCCCAACTTATGACTGTGGCAAAAAGCTTAACTAAGCACTTTCCAGAATTCTCAAAAGGTACTTACACGTGTTGTTTGTGGAGCAGATAATTTCCCCCCAAAATTTTTTGTCTTGATGTTTTCAGATAATAAACTTAGAATTCAAGAGTACTTTGTGACAAACAACTAATGAATATATATATATATAAATATATATATATATATATATATATATAATATATATAATATATAATAATATATTTTATATATAATAATATATAATAATAATATTCATATATATATATTTATATTTATATATATATTTTATATATTTATATATATAAATATATATATAAATATATATATATATATATATATATAATAGCAATTATAGATTACATTTGTTTATCAAATAGTACCTATGCCAAATAAAGGAGAAAGTTTTCACACACAAAGCTTCAAGTACTGTAAACTATTTTCTTACAAGCTGAAGCTCAACTCAGAGAAAAAAAAAAAAAAAAAAAAAGTAGCATTTACTGAAGAAAGCATGAAATAAGAAGTGAATGTGAATACTCAAAGTAACATCTCCCAGTTTTGAGGAATCACATTTATCTTTCTGAAATCATAGAGAAAGAACAGTAAGAAGCCCCAACAGGGCACCATTGTTTCTGTATCTTTGGATGCATCAAAGACAGGTAAATCCTTATGCAACCTTCACATTTCAGCTTTCACAGAGAACTGTTATGGTCAACAGGTTTTTAATTTTTTTGTTTTTAAAGTTAAGAGAAAAAAAAAAAAAAAAACCAGATTCTTTCCTTATTCTCACAAAACAGAGAAGGATGCAACAGTACCTTTTCTTATCTGGCAGATCCATCCATATAGATAATCACAGTGCCTGTCATTCCAAAGCATGCTTGAATCACCACTGATCTCTGCACAGAGTTCAATTCCTTGGTAATTATTGGGTTCCCCAAAGCCCCAGTTCTCATACCTCACCTATGATAGAAAAGGTTTTGTGAGGATCCTGTAATACAGTACAATAATAATGGAGAAAAGGAAGAGGCTGTATCAAAACACAGGCATAAGATCTGTTTATACTGTCAGTAGAAAAACTGAGGTAAGAGAAAAACAGCTTCCCCCTGCAAATACTGACATTCCAGATTTATTTTTGGACCACAATTTAAGTAACTGTTGTTACTTATCAAACTTGGAAGAATACTGATTTTTTTTTAAGGACATAAATTCTATTAAACTCATCTAATGACAATGATGGTGAATGCCATATGTTGCTAAATTAAGTAAATATCCTCTGAGTAAAATAATAGGACATTACAGAGAAACACAAAAGTGTTGCCATTTATCTAATAAAAACTTCTACTCTAATTTTCCTGTTTAAATTCTAATTTCAGTTTTCTGTATGTAGACTTTTACCAATATATATATTTATATATATATTTATATAATATATATATATTTACCAACTTCATATTAAATACACCCACATCTGCAGAACCAATTTTGCTTCCACAGTTTAACATCTTAGTCTAATGTACAGACAAGCCACAATTGCCTTCAGCTCCAGTGAATGTAGGCCACTTCAGATCAAGATGTAATTTGAAAAGAACAGAAATACTAGCAATAGGTTATTTTTTTTCAAAACAAACTTTCATTCATAAGAACATACTTTTTTTAATCTCCATGAATTCAACTTTCTCATTGATTTAAATATATATTTTTTTCTTCTAATTAAAAAATCAGTATGGTTTAGACATAAAATTCAGCCATGAAATTGCTAGTCATAAGATTCCTAAAGTGAACATGACAGAGCAGAGTGTTATGGTTAAACATAAAACTGTACACAGACATTTACACCACGCACTTGAGAAACACAGGGAATGGAAAATAAGAGCTGTGAAGAATTAAACCACTGACCGGAGATCCATCACTCCAGACAAAGCCATCATCAGGATTCAAGTAATACAAGCCCATCCAGAAATGCTGGTGGTAAAAACCATTGTTTCTAAACAAAACAAAAGAAGAAAAATAATAAATATTCAATTTATAAAGAGCTTAAACATAAAAACAAAACTAATAAGGGCATTACAATATTTTTATAAGCTAGCATTCACAACAGTTCATAAACCTCTATACAAATAATTCTTAAAACTATAAGAAATAAAAAGTGGAGAGGACAACTGTTAAAATTCAACATTTCTAGCTTTTAGCACTACACATTAACTCAAGTCAGTCTGAAACATTGTCTTATACAGAATGTGTTCAGATCCAATCCAACTCCTGAAAATCTAATAAGGAGTCTTACTACTTTTCTACAACACTCCAGTACCTACTATTTCTCTGTTTTCTCTTTAAAGGCATGTAGTGTTTCCAAACACAAAATTACTTGCTGCAGCAGAATCACATTAAAAAATAGTACCTTAGCTACTTGTTGTCTTCAAGCAGATACGCTTTACTGATTAATCAGAATTTATTGAACCAATACATAGTAATGCAGAGACTGCTTCCTTGACTGATCTGAGACCTCTTACTTGAAGGTCTGCTGCATTTTGCAAGTCTGCCAGGTTTCAGTCTTGCTTTCCAGTTAGACAGGTACATATGTGTTCATTGAGCTCCCTCCATTCATGTCATATTACAAGTGTTATCTTTCTAATAGTATTTGATCACATTCAGAGTATGATCAAATCTCTCACTTTCTTATTACAGTTCAAAGATCTACTAACTCTATTTACATACCCTGTGTAGGGGAAAAAAAAAAAAAAAAGAAGAATCTGAAGTTGGCTCTTTTCTGATTAGTTCTTAAAATGAACCAAAACACTGACTAGATTTATATCTTGACAGTTTTCCTATTTGTACATTTGCTTATGTTAAACAAATTGTCATGTGTAGTAATTTCAAAATGAAATATTTCAGAAAGATCAAAAGGATAATTGCAGTGAACAGATGATGACATTACAGATACTCACGCAATAGAACGCCATATCACATACTGCTCTTCTTTACCATTAATGGAGGCAAGATCTCCTCCTATAGTTCGACAAAACTCTTGAGATTCAAGCCATGTTTTCTTTTGCTCTCCTTTTGAAAAAGGCTAAAGACAGCATATTTTACCATCAGGTATAATAGACCATAAATAGATTACATGATCAAGATATTCAAAACCAATTCACTTAAAATTAACTTACTCTATGGGGATTACAGAAAATTACAATTACAAATTATAATAAGGTCAGTTAGTGTTCATCTGTTTGAAAAACAGGTTTCAAACGAGCATCTTTGAGGCAAGCTGGCAGACTGCATTGCTGACAGCAATAACTGCTGCAAACTGACAGGAGAAAGACACTTTTAATAGAACAAGGATGGAAAATTAAGCTCAGAAAATCAGACCTCAAGATCAGACTTTAAAAAAGTAAAGAAAATGACAAATACTTCAATAAAAAGGGACAGGACCTGAACATATAATCTGTGAATAAGCTGATGAAACAGCAAGACTATTGTACACCAATTTTTATTGCATGCAGGTGCACCAAATAGAAACATCATAATTGAGAATGAAGCAACAACTTACTTTGAAACAAAAGCTAATACGATTGTTTGAGTCCCAGCCTTCTGGGCAACTGGGAACAGGAGTTGTTGTAGGAAGAGGTGGAGGTGTTACTCCCTCTGCCCACATTTTACATAGGAATTTTGCCTTTTCCTCACATTTTATTACATCCCATAATCCACCTGCAGTTCCAGTTCTCATAGCAACACAGCCTGGCTTTCTTCCTGGTTGAAAACAGGAACACATAAAGGCAACATTTCAGGGGGTCACTGAGAATTGTGGAAAACTTCATATTCTACCCTGCTAGAAACCAAAGTATTTGCTTGAACAGAGTCAAAAATTTTTCTAACTCATGGAGAAAGAGGCAAAAATGTGCTTCACCCATATCTGAGATACTTGATACATATCTGAGATACTTGATGTGCCTTACATCAAATCACATCAAGTTCCAATGGCTGACTCTAGCACCATCATGCAATTCAACCAATTCTTCCCTAAAATAGAAGACATGATAAGAGCAGTTTTCCCAAATTTGTCTGATTTGACTATAATTTAATAAAATGAGCTCGCTATATATAAGCTTGCTGCTGTCTTAGTCTACTCAGCCTTACCACTCCATGTCACACATTTAAATCAGAATTTAAGACACTGCAATTGAAGAGGATCAGACAACCTCCCAGAAGCCTGATATAACACATCAGAATCTTGAAGGCAGGAGATTATCTTCCTTCTGATGTGACCATGTCAGACGTAAAAAGGTTTCCCATATATACACATACGTACAATTCATCAAGGAAAGATATTAAGTAAAAAAAAACTAAACACAAACCTTCCTCTTGTCCTTTCCTACAACCTTGTTTTCTCTAAGACAGGTGCTTTATGTGTGCTGTGATTTCCCACAACTCAAAACATGCACTTAGCAAACACACTATGAGATACGGCTGAACAGTCAGGATTTTTGAGCAAGGCACAATATGTCTGAAGAGAATGATCTTCTAGAGTAGAACATGCAGAATGACGGGAAATCAGAAACTTGACAGAGCTTTGAAGTTTCTTTCACACTCAGATTAAAAGCCTGAGTGCATGCAGCAAGTTAGCGCCAGCACAGCATGCTTGAGAGAGCAGACATATCTGAGAGCAATTGGTCATTGTGCCATTAGACAGGGACTAAGGACTGAAATAAAAAATGCAATTGGTGAGCGATATATTCTGGCCACTGCATTCATTAGAAAGCATAGAGTCATAGCTACCAGGCATTTCAGAATTCCAGTGTGTAAATAAGACATATTCGCCATTAGCCCACTTGAAAGTTCCCTTTTCTTCTACATCTGAAAGTCCAATCCAAAAGTATCTTTCTGTTTTCAGCCCAACCAGGCTAGTCAGATAGGCTTGTTCATATCTGTTCAAAAGAATACAACTGTTAAATTAATACCACTGGATTCATTTTTTAAAGCTGTAAATAGTTTATTTTCTCAGAACTACCTTTGTACTTTCTTAAAAGAATGACATGGAGGGATTTACATGAACAAACCAAAACATAATATTTAGTTTGTAAGCTTGAATACCAAAGTATTCTGTCTTCTCTTCCAGTCCAGTATAGAAAGTGGTATAATGGTGAATTGATATGAAATTGGAGAGGATATGGAAATGAAGGAACAAGACAGGACTTAATTGTAATACCACTGTATTTCAAAGATACCCTTCTATTTCAAAGGTACCCTTCTATTTTAATAACTTCTTGTTACAGGCAAACCCAAAAACCACAAAAGGCCTCAGCACTATTACAGAAATACACTAAAGTCAAGGCTGAAGTATGACGATAACAAACTGTTAAACTCAGGAAAACTGCAAATCAGATCCAGTGATCATACATAAACTTTTATGTTTGGGAAACAAACCTACTCAGAGGTAAAGCTGTCATAGTTCATTACTGTGTTTAAATAAAAAGCCTTTGGAAAATCAGAGCTAATGTAAAAAAAAAAGTCTCTCTTGTAACAAGATATAGTCCAAAGACCACATTGCTTCACTATTTTTTATCACAGCTGCAGTTCAACCTGCATTTTCAGGGTTACTATCCATGAAACAGTTTTCATGCTGAAACATACCTATTCAAATTATAATGAAAGAAATCAGAGAAAGTGTAAGACGTGGAGTCAACTGCAGGCACACCAGCCTTTATTTCTTAACTCTTTCATTTTTGAAATATGCTGTATTCAATAATGTGTATCAGCTGCTCAGAAACTTAGCACACATTGAACCCTCATGGAATTGTGATGTTTTAAAGTACCAAGCACTTCTATCCTCATTTGGATTCTTATTTAAACTTTGAGTAAGTAGTTCAATTCTGAAAAGAACTGATATTTGACATCGAGCTCCTCTTCCTCATTTCAGTTACCTTTCAAGAGGAATTCACTTAAATCTCTTCACTTGATTATTTAAAATTGAATTCTGTGCTCTTACTCCCACACTCAAGTAAACTTATCCTCAAACCACTACAATTAAAGAAAAACAAAACTCTATGTTTTCCTTGGCTTTCAATGGCAAAAAATTATTTCATATCCATTGACTATTTTTACTATGAACTGAACTCATAGATTTGAATATGTATGCAAAATCTTTTACAAGTTTTGTATGTTTATATAGCTGTCCTCTCAAGCAAGATTTTCATCCATATCAAAATCTTTATTTTGACATTCAGATGATATTAGATGCTAAATTCTCATGCGGCCCTTAATGCAAGCAGTTGTCACTTACCTGTCTTGAACAGTTGCTAAATACGCTTTATGCCTTTCACAAGTTTGATTTGCTTGGGAAAATGTTACAAATGTATTCCCAATGAAGTAACAATAAAAACCATGCCTTTTCCAGCCCTGTCAAAATAAGCATTAAGTGATCAAATGCGCTACAGTGTTCATAAAGTTCCTATAAAAATATATAAAAACATAAATGTAAAAGACAAAGAAAGAAAAAAAAAAATCTCATGACACTGTCAGCTAACCATTAGCCAAAGGAACAAGTGAACTGCAAAAGGCAGAGTGGAAACAGGCAAGAAGAAAGATTTTATAAAGTACTGATTTACAATGATTTTTGATTTCCACTTATAAAAAGAGATCATAGGTTTTTCTTGTGCGTTTTCAGTACTCTGCCTGGCACATAGGTGCGCAAGCATGAGAACTGCCATGGAAAGCAAATTTAAGCATGTCCTTTTAGATTGCTAGTGATTAGAAAAGTTTATAGATTATTAAATAACACTAACACTCTTCTAATGCTTTGTCATCCAAATATCATTATCTCAGGAATATGCTTACAGAGAAATAGTGGCTGAGTTACAGCAAACAATTTATACAAATTTTCTCCTGGTATTCAGTTTCTCACCAAGAAGATTATCTAACATGGAATAAATTCAGTGGCAGTTCAGAGGGAGCACAGTGGATACATTTTGTTTAGGAACTTGTAACAAATTCTTCAAAGTAGGGAGCATGGCCAAACACCTAAAACCTACACAAAACCTTGAGAATATCATGAAGACAAACACATTCTTATTGCCAACAGTAACAAAGACAATTGCAGACAGAGCTGAAGAGCAACTGCTCTTCAGCTGCATAAGAAAAAATTTCTTATGAAGGTCTAAACTCCAATCAAGGAATAATAGCCTACTCAAGAGCTACACATTTGAGTTTTGTACACTTTCAAGTTCTGAAAAAACAAAGGGAACTTCAACAGTCAAAGAGTCAGGGTCTGGATTTATTCATCTGTACCACCTGTCCCATCTGCCATAAAAATGAGAAGGCCAGCTGTTCTAATCATGACAATGCAGAAACCATTTCTCCTTTTTTTCCTCCCTCTCCTTCCAGATCCAGTATTTTCTCTTCTTAACCCTACCTAGCAGCCAATTCAGCTTCAACAACCTTTTCTTCACTTACTCTCTGGCAGCCCATGTCAATAGTTTCCTCTCCTGTAGGTGCTTCTGACAGGGGCTTCCTTTTACAGATGTAGCCAATTTTCTTTTCACAAGAATGGTCCGCCCAAAATCCATCCTGAACATGAGAACAGAATATCATAGTCAAGTGGGATTTAGGTTTCAAAGACGTGCTCTATGTTAAAGTATTTAAGGATAATTTTTCCTAGCTTTTAAGGAAAGAAAACCTACACTAACTTCAGTACAGAATTTCAACCTCAGTCTGACTTCTCCTGCTGAGAATGATTCAACGTTGATGTACACCTTTTCTGATTTCTAACCTTGCTGGAAACTGGACCCTTTGAGGTGACAGCAATGCAACATCTTTACAAAAACTACTAATTCAATAATCATGCAGGAGGAAAGGGGATCATAGAATGGTTCGGGTTGGAAAGGACCTTCAAGACTATTTTCTTCTGATCGCCCTGCCCAGGGCTACATCCAACCAAGCCTTGTACACTTCCACAGATGGGGCATCCACAGCTTCTCTGGGCAGCCTGTTCCACTGCCTCACCACCCATGTTATAAAGATTTTCCTAAGAAATCTAATTTAAATCTAGTTCTCTTAGTTTAAAACCATTATACTTTGTCCTGACACTACAATGCCAAGCTTCTGCAGCCTTGAACTGGTATTTTTGGTTCTTACTTATAATATTATGCATGCCAGCTTTCCATAAGAAACTTCTGAGCAATGATCAAGGGTTCTCTGGCTGCACTGAATGTTACCACTTTTAGCATGTCATTTTAGCATACATCATCATCATCATAACCAGTGAAATCAAATATTAATGCTTTGTGATCCTAGCCATTGAATTTTATTTTAAGACCCATCCAGATATTAGATCTCATTTGTAAGCTTACTCATCTTCTACCAACGTCTCTGCATATAAAAATAAAAAGAAAAGAAGAAAAAACACATTCCACAGTACTTATCTGTAACTATATATGTAACTATTCTTGCCAACTCACAACTGAACTCTTTGTAGGTTCCCGTGCTGCACTCTGGCACCCTAATGTTTAAGCATTCAGCTACCTTCCCATGCCTGACCTTCTAAGTCCATAATACAGACAAAGCATCTACTGCATCCTCATCTAACACTGTCATAGGAGCTGCCCAAGAAGGACATTAATACATAAAAACGTTTTGCTTTTAAAAATCTGCTTGCTCAGTGATTATGTGCACTATAGCCTGGTTGCCATGGAAAAAAATATGTATTTACACACTTCTCACCAGAACTTGACCAAAGAAAAGATTTAGATGTTCATGTGCTTTGCAGTGTAATTAAAAGTTTCTTCCAAAGTCCACATGTGCATACAGAAGTCTCTGGACCTTGGGGGAGAATTTACCTAAAAGGAAAGCCACCACTTGCTTGTTTCTCAAGGAAGCAGCAAAATAAATAAATAAACAAATAAAATATAATTAAGTCAATAGTTGAACATGACTTTACCTTTCCCTTCATAACAACGCAGTCCTCCTGCCTATTGTTTGCATGAGTGGGTTCTCCACGAAGCCACCTGGCATAGGTGACAGGTGTCCCATCACTCCATTCAAAATACATCTGAATCTTGAGGTCATTCAACCCAATCCAAAGTTCATCATCTGGCTCTAAAACATGATTGACAACAGTCCTTATATGTTATGTTATTTATAGGATCTTACTCTCAGGAAGGCTAAAAGGAAGTCACAGAAAATTAAGGCTCCCTGTTTCATGTAGAAGGCACAGCATTCTCTACATACGCACTCCAGTCTTCAGGAAAAGCCACTCACTCTAGTGGCATTACAATAGCAGTGTTTAGCTTCATACAAAAGCACAAACCTGCTCTCTGTATTGAATTATGTTGTAGCATAGTCTGCCTTGTTCTCCTTTTCCAGCTTAAAACATTTGGATAAAATAAATAACAAGATACAACTAACCACCTAAATAAAATCCTAACTCCTCTTTCACTTCTTGCACAGGAAAGAAAGTACAAGTACCATCTCTTCTAATGCTCAGACACCCAGCATGTCTCTTAGAAATGACAGTCAGCAAGCACACTTGCAAGTTGTCCCATCATCTGTTCCTATACTTTGTTTCATTTTAGAGCAATATGCAATTCCTGTTGCTGTTTTACTTTTTGTCAGTCCGCTGTGGAGTAAATCTTCATTTGGAAGGAAAGTGTAGGAATTAATCAAGCATCTTACTTCACAGCTGCTGTTTCTTAGAGGTCTATTTGCCTGTGCTTTAAAGTCTCCACCATATTGCTACTATAACGTTCACTATCCGGTTTTCTTCTGCAAAAAAAACTTCTGAATAAAATCCTATGGAAGATTAAAAATCGGGCATTGATAATGACTGAACTTTATCATCATCAAAGGACGTTCCTTTATAGTACTGGCTTTGTAGCTGTTAACTGCAATTGGGAATTTGTTATGAGAATCATAAAATGTATTTAATTCCATCATTAATGGTGGCATGATAGAACTGTATTTTGAATTAACAATACTCAGACATCTTTCATGCTCATAGTTTGTTCTCACAGTTTTCCCTTCTTGAACGATTTTCCTCTTAACATTCCCTAGCCATACTGATCACGGTCAACTTGACAACAAAACTGCTCATGAAATGTAAAAATGGGATCTTGTGTCCACTTTATCAACTAGCTATTTCCCCCTTTCTCAGACATGCTTTGAGCCATGTTTGTTCAAGATCAGATTCTGCATTTCCATGTAAATATGCACAATACATTCCTTTTTAATTCTTCATGTTCTTCTCTAAAGTTCTCCTTTGTCAATTATGCCAAAACTGAAGTTTTGCTACTGTGACCATACTTATCTCATACTTACCCCTTATTGCTCAGTCTTATCACTAGACTGAATTATCTGGTGCAAAGATGGGCTTTTACTCTGTTTGCACAGCACTTATTGCAGAAGAGTTCTGATCCAGGCAAGATTATTGAGGCACTGCAGTACACAGTGCTCTCATCACAGGGGTGAGAAATGACAATCTGATACTGAGAGACAAATGCCTTAAAAGGCATTTTCAGCAGTTTCAATTTTCCTCCTCTGAAAAGATTACTTTCTAAATAGTCTGTTGCAGTATTTGTGCCATCTGTGAGAAGTCTGGTTTCCTTCAGAACTATATGCCTTTCAGAAATATTCACTTTAAAAAAAAACAGTGCAATGCAATCGGTCCAGAAAAGGCCTCTGGAAAAGGTATTTAACCTCTGAAACAACTTACTTCCAAGGAATGAGTCAAAAATGCATCTAACCTCATTCAAATTCTTTCAAATGTCCTAATGCCTCATCAAGAGGTCTCACCTTTCCTAATCATCCCTTTTCAAAGAAAAAAAGTTTGCATAGTTCACAAGACAACCCATCACTTTTACTGCACCCTATGCCATGCTCTACTCTGGTTCCTACTGACTCACCTTGAGGGCTGTGTGCAGATTGGGTGCCAAAATATAAGAAGGTCATAAAACTATTGGAGACCACCTGAAGGACTGGGAATACAGGGAAGGGACTATGAGATAAGGCATTAAAGGAGCAGCTGGGGTCCCTGGGTTTGGTCAGCCCAGAGCAGAGGAGGCTCAAGGAAGGTCCCACAGCAGCTGCAGCTCCTCACAGGGGAGCAGGGGGGCAGCGCTGAGCTCTGCTCTCTGGTAGAAGCTCCAGAACTACGGCACAGAGCTGCATCAGGGGACGGTCAAGATGGAAATGAGGAAAAGCATTTTCACCAGAGGCTGGTCAGGCCCTGGAACAGGATCCAGAGTTCAAGAACAATTTGTTCAACAACACTCTCAGATATATGTCTTAATTTTTAGGTATTTCTATGTGGAGTTGGACTCGATAACACTTGTGGGTTCCTTCCAACCTGGGATATCCTATGATTTTATGATTGTAAGAACAAACACAAGTTGCAATGGAGTTGGAAAGAATACAAAACTAAAGCAGATCAGCTATTTTCAGATTGCTATTCCTGCTGTTACGCAGCAGCTCAAGAGAGCTTGCTGCCCTTTCAGGGAGAATAAGCTACCTGACAGGGTACTAAAAACACATAGAGGATTAGTTACTGCAGTGCAGCAAACATGGGTGTAAAGATGTCTCACCCATCAAATAGTAGTATCTGACACTAAATGTGAAATAATTTACATGGAAAGCAACAGCAACTACAAAATGGCCTCAGCATCAGCATGGTTGCATCTCACAAAAGGAGCATCTCACCTAAGGTTATCTGTAGCCATATTTGACTTGCAAGAACTTGAGTATATGAACACTGAAGTACCCCATTTCAGATGGGGTGCCTCTTAATACACATACTGAGACAGACAGCTTCTTATTTCATGACTTGAAAAACATGGACATGGCAGTAATAGGATCCATAATTTCCCCAAGTTTTCTGACCAACAAATATTGTTTTCTCTCAGCTATCTTTGCAGAAAGAAAGTAAAAAAATCTTCCAGCTTCTGAAAACATTACAAATGGCCTTAACCTGTACAAGAAGAGGTAAAAGCAGACCCTGAGAAGGGAGTTTGATGCAATTCACAACACTGATCACAGCTTTATCATGACAGCATAATCTCTCTAGTTTTAATTCTCCTATTTTTTTTTCCAACTTTCAAAGTTTAGAATTTAACTCCTTCTGCATCTTGTGATGAGGATATTGTTCATTTTTTTATTTGTATTTTTTAAACAGCCTCCTCCTTTTCTCTTAAGCTTCTTATTTTCTTAGTGTAAATGATATAGTACTGAAAAAGAAAAAAATAAAATTAAATACTCACGGTACCCAAGCTGAGAAATAACAAAGCTGTACTCTTCAACGTTATGGATGCTAGCCAGATCCCCATCCTGCTTTCTGCAAGATGTTAAAGCATCTTTCCATATTTTGGGGTCCCTGTGAATTATGTAACAGTGACCAGCATATGATATCCATTGGTCAGGACATACAATAGGCACATCAGTCTCTGAAAAGAAAAAACAAAGAACTTCAGAATTCTATTCTTAACAAAAGATTTAAAATTACATAAGCAAGGACTTAACAAACAAATTAATTGCGTTTTTTCACCCTAAAGAACAGCAGGGTTGAAAAATATCTAAAAAGATCACCATGGGCAAGTATGATTATAAGTTAAAATACCCAAATATTTTTAAGAGCAATACAGTTGCAAACAAGTGCTTGCAATTTGTGAAAAGATGGAAAGAATTTAACTGCAAAAACACACTTTTGACACTCATACACACACACGCATATTCAATTGTGAAATCTAAGAAGTTGTGCTCTGTTATTTTTCTGCATTTCATGCCAGCATTCCTTATCACTCTCTTCTCACTTCATCAGTGATGTTTAGATACAGGAGAAGAAACTGGGCTTACAGAACTTATATACTAAGGTAACTTTTTTCCACTAGACTTTAAGCACTTTATGGACAAGCTGCATTTTCTAGATTAAAAATAAATTAATTAATTAAATAAATCAAGTGATTCTACAGGATCATGCAAGAACCCAAAATGCAAATACTGCTTTTAGGAATACTTTTTAAAAGCACAATTGAGAAAATTATTCTGTCAAAGTAAATTATTGCATTTAAGGATTGCTTTTAGGAATTCATTAGAACAGTAACAAAGTACTGCCAACAATCACATTGCTGATCAGCAAACAATTCAGCTTTTGAAGAAGTGCCATCCAACTGTATAACAAAGAGAATTTATAATCATTAGACAGTTTTGCAAACACCAATATAGAGAGCGGAACAGGGACAGCAAGCTTGCAGAAATTCTGTTGGGAAAATAAACTTATGCACGTCAGAGAACAAGAAGCAATATGTTTCTGTATGACAGTGGTCTATATTTCATGAAAACATTTAACTAGGCATCCAAAGCCATGATTAGTCAGGGCAAGTTTGTGAATATACATCCTGTTTCAGCTAAAAGATGCTGACAATTAGTAGTTACTTAGTATCAGAACACCAGTGTCAGAGCACAGCTATAAACATACTTTTTTTGTCTGCAGACCCACCTCAAAAAAGTGCCAGGATGTTATCAGAAAGTAAAACAGAACTCTGCCATCCCAGGGATGTCCCTGGGATGTGGACTCTGTCCAGCCCTGTGTATGGTCAGAATCCTGTCAATCCAGCCACAGAAGGAAAGAACGGGGATAGATAGAGATGTTGGAAAAACAGACTGATGGTATGTGGGGTTGTCCAGAGAAATGAAACAGAGATGTCAAATACTGTTGTAGAAGTATCATGCTTTAGGCAGCTACCTGATTCCTACCGTGCCTGGGGCTAGCTCTGAGCATGTGTATCTTACAGTGCGTTGCTACAGCAAGCAGACAGAGAGCAGCTCTGAGGAAAAAAAAAACCTAGACTTACATGCATCTTTAACAAATTCACACAGTGCACCCTTTTGCAAACAGTAAATGGAACAGACACTATCAGTTCAGACTTCACTACAAAGACAATCACACAGGTCTTTATTCCCCTGTGGCTTTGTAAGAATCTCTCTTTCAGACCGAAGGAGGCTGTATGAACATGACTGTCAACGCTAAATCAGCTATGGCACACAGGGAGATTCTTTTGGTTGTAAATTCAGTAACATTAGGGAATTTGTTGCAGGCAGAAAAACTGGAGAAGAAGTTGACAGTCCAATTTCTTCAGAGTAAATTTTATTGAATGACATAGCTGGTGATTTCTCAGTGGGACAAAGCCTCAAATTGTTCATTTCTAGCTGTCAGCAAAAGTTAACTCTGTGCTTCCCTCTTCTAAAGAAAACACACAATACAAAGCCCTGTGATCTACTTTTCATCCTTAAGAAAACAAGTACTAAATCCTGAGCTTCATCTAACTTAAATAAAATAAAGCAAGTAATATCTAACAGTGGGAATCACATTAATGTATAAAAAACATTTATCAAAAAGCCAAGTTGATGAATACTGTGGAATAGTTCAACATAAAAAAATGAAGCAGACTTAGACAGACCAAATAGTTCTGCAAACTATAAGCTTGGCTTCCTGAAGTCTGAAGGTCTCCCAGTTATTGACTTGGGTGTCTACAAAGGTAAAAATACTAGCTGAATGATTCTCATGATTAGGGAATTAACATTTCTGTCTCACATATTCATTCTTCGCTGTTGATAAGAGAGAGCTTACACAGCCTTCATAACAGTTAAATTAAGTGTATTTGATTCTCCAATCAGATCTGGGGGTTTATGAAATACTCAGAAACTTAATACTTTATGTTGTCGAATTGGGATGAAAACTATTTTGGCAGTTACCTGGTGGAGGTAAGCAGCCAGCCAGCTTTTCCTTAGAAAATGAAGTTTAAAAATAAGCATCTTTTGCAAGTGAAATTAATGGATTCTTATCGATTCATTTTGCTGTGTTGCAGATCAACTGCTTCAATGCCCTAAAATCTAAACGACTTAAAGATACATAATAATGTGGCCCCCTGCTGGAAAAAAAAAAAAAAAAAAAAAAAATCTCGTGAAGGAAGTCCACACAGCTGCTGAGTTCCTGAAAATCTTCAAATGCTACAAAAATAAAACATCTGTAAAGATTTTTCTCTATTTTGTTGTAGGTACATGATTACATTCTGTTATAAAGTGTTCTCTCTCACAGTCCTATAGCGCTCTTCTGAACTTAAATGTAACTTCTAGAGTTAAAATATTGCCGCTGCATTTGGTAGCCAGTGCACAACTTAATTGCATGCATGAATTTGCAATTAATTTGTGTTTTGACACTGGAGCCCTGGTCAGGAAAACATCATCTGCCATGAGTTTTCCTTTACATCATTAGAAATTGAGGGCACTTAACACCTTGCACGACTGCATGCTTATTCCTTTTATGACTTCCTCCCTTAGGAGCTTTGGAAAATATTTTATGATATGAATTACTGCCAATCTCTGTTTAATCTGTCATCACGTTTACTCAGCAATTTCTGTACAATTGAAAACTTGCATCTCATTTCTGTTCTTCCTGCAAATTATTAATTCACTTCAAATATGGGAGGGGTGAGGCAGGAAATCAAAACCCTGATGTATAAGAAAGAAATAGCCATTGGCTCCAAATTAAGATTGAATGTAAAACTAAATAAGATAATAGGCAGCACTGAATCAGTGGTTCATTTACAAGCATCAGTGTTCAAAGACATGTTTATGAAAAGCTGAGTAACAGCCCATGAACAATCTACTTCAACCTAAATAAAGATAGATTTTGGCTGTCAGAAGTATAGAAATATTAACAGTTATTTGCATTTTAATTCAGAAAATAAATAAAAATAAAATAAGCACTATTGGCATTTCCAACTCCAACAATAAATACACTTAATTTCAAAACTGAAGTATATCTAATTAACATTGATTTCAATATTTGGTTAATAATACACTAGCTCATTTGTTTTTCTTAAAGAGAAACAAGTTAGACAGAAGACACTGTTTCATGTTTTTTGTTATTACTGAGCTGGCTATATGTTGGCAGAACAGCAGAAATAACATTAAAAAACATATTTTTCAAGTCAAACTTTTTGGAAACTCATCATTTGACATCTGATCTTCCAATAATATATATTAAAAAATGGACTGGAAATATGGCAGTGATTTGGATTTCTGCTTCTAAACCCTGTGCAAAATAATGTCAGTGAATTTGGGAGATACCTGTACAAGCTAGAAAGAGGAATAAACTTGGAAACAAGGTATAACGGAAGGAAAGAGTGTTGAAACAAAGGAAAAAGTCACAGTGTAAATTATAGCACAAAGAGATAAAATAATGAAATAAGTCTAAATAAAGCTATGAAAACTTATCCCTGATGTGTCTTTCCTGTGTACCTTAAGTGCCCAAATTATATTTCTTCTAAAAAAGTGTCTGCGTGTATTTAATCTAAAGAATTTTGTAATTAAACTAAATAGTTTAGATATATAGAAAATATAAATCCATACTTAACTACATACACACATAGTTTTTAAACAAATCTTTAAATCTATAATAATTTTTTTAAATTCTTTAAGTTTACTATTAATTTGCACTCTTAAACTTTCCATTTCATAAGTAACAAAAAATGACAGCAAGAGAGATAGATTAGTTTCAATGAGAACATGGGTTTTTAGATAACTACACAATATTTTAAGCATTAAATTATTTAGCTTTTTATTCTACATAAAAAATGTGAAAGTTTTGTTTGCTTACAGAAAGAGAACTCAGCTATATTACGCAGGAAGTAAGGAGACCAGAATAAAGAGGAAGTACACAACGTTCACTTTTACAAGGAATCTTGGTCAAGTCACATTTTGCACAGACATTATCTTTTCTCAATTTTAGGCCGTTAATAATTCATTAGGAGATTATTGCCAAGCCTACCTGTAGGAACAATGAAAGATGCTAAAGTAGCATTTCCTCGCTTACAAATATAGCCAAGCTTCTGGTTACATTCCCAATTCTCCCACTTGGCAACTTTGGCAGGATTTAATGCTGCACAGATTTTTCCAGGTTCTGGAGAAGGATGGCCTTTGATAAATAAAAAAAAAAAAGAACAAAAGTTAAAATGATGTTAATGGACAAAAAAGTTCCACAGTAGGCAGCTAGCTCTCTCAAATGCCCAACCCCCATATTTTAGCAACAGATAACTTAGCACCCTTATGGAACATAAAACTTTCAAATGTTCCTGTTATTTGTTTAGAACTAGTGAGATGGAAGTATGTAAAGCTTTCACAAATTCTTTTAAAATTTACTGGTGGAAAGAACAGTTAGGTCTTCAACACCCATGGAAATAGGGATGAGATAGAGACACGCTGACAAAAATTAACTGTGAAGTAGAAAGCACACATGTAAAATTGGTTATATAGATACCAGCAGAGTGAAAAACAAATGGAGTCCCATTTTGGTTACTCCAAAACTCAGATACTTCTTTACAAGATAAATGAGAGCTGCCTGCAGTTTTAGCAGTCATAAACAGCTTCCCTTGCTGCTTTGGCTCTAACTCAGCCAGGCTTTCTCCACCCTTTGCTACATGCAGCTCCTCACCTGTGCTTTTGGCAGACAGACTTGTAAACATCCTCTCAGGAACTTGTACTTCAGCCCATCTGTTTGCCTTGTGTGCTCTCACCATTGGAGAGCAAGTTAGACAGTGGTTCAACTCATTCTTCAAAGCTTACAAAGAAGTTTTGTCCACCTAAAATTTGGTTTGGGGCTTACCTCCAAAGAGGTACTACAGAGTGACATGATGGAGTAACTTACAGAGTTACTGCAAATTAAATACATGGGACATGCTCAATGAAAATGAAGAGTATTCAAACTGTATAACTTCAGACATCCACTTAAATCAGTCTCCAAAGACTTCCTGAATAGTTACTGCAAGGAAACAAGGGTCCTGATAAAAGTCACCTTAACAAAGACACTGAATAATAAAAGCACCTCTTCAGTGCTGTCTACAGATGTCATGGAGAATATGTTTTTAATACTGGCACTGGAGTCCAGCATTGCAGCCACAGGTGTGAAACAGCTGGTTTTGCTTCAGGGTAGACTAGTCTAATATATTTAGTTCTGTATGTATTACCACCAAGGTTGGTTAATCCAAAATAAAAATAAAAATCCAATCATTAAGCAAATAACCAAAACAAACCAGAAATGAAAGGAATTTAACCCCTTATAAAAAAACATAATCTTACCTGGAACCCAATTTAAGTATCTAAACGGAGCACCACCAACCCACTGCCATCCGCTGTCGAAATTCAGGCTGTTAAGGCCAAACCAGAGAGCAGAACTCAGCTTGCCAGTCAAACCTAGGTAACAGAGATAAAGAAAGATACTGGCAGTGCACAGCAAGAGAAAACATTCTCTTGAAACTTGAAAGTTTAATTTCTTTTGGTTCTCTTTTTTCCCTGTACAAGATTTAAAAATTTTAAATTGAGGTGACTGCGCTAAACTGCTCATATGGTTTCACATCACTCACATTTCTCTTATTGTCAGAGTTTTCACAATTTTAGGTGTGAGGAACTGTGTTAGAATGGAGAAACAACAATACGTATACATTCTTTGTAAGGAGATTATCATAAATACAAAGCAAATCAATTTTTTTCCCCAGAATTACAAAATATAAAACTGATAGCTGACAGAAGGGAAGTAAATAAACAATCAATTTTCTAAAACCAAATATGAATCCTTTCCTGTCATGTAAATATTTTCTTTTCCAATAAAATTAACAAATGTGAGCTTCAAATTTACTAAATATTTTAAAGTAGTATTGTAAGCTGTTTATATTTTATCATGCCACATTTAAATATGATCATTCCAAAAGTCATCTTTTTAACAGCACATCTGGTACATTTTGAAACTCATCTGAATTCACTTCTTCAGCCAAAGTAAGTCAGGATTCCAAAACATGTTCCAACTTACTGTTCCAAGTCTGAAAAGCACTTAGAAATAATATCATGTCCATGCATGGTTCTATCGAATTCTGTGGGCTTTTTTATAGTAATTATGACTTAATTGCTTCTCTCTGCTTTATGTCTAAGAATTGTAAGCTTAGCTGGATGAGTGCTGATTGTTTTTGAATTGAAGTATTTCTGCATAGCTTACAGGAAATCATCACACAACTTACATTAAGCACTTCTGCTTCGACTGATAGCATCATACCAGTTTTCAAATTTACTCTATGTATTTAGTTGTTTTTGACACTATGGTTATGGGTAACACTTAAAGTACAGCCAAGTTACAAGCAGGGGTTGTTAAGTACTGAAAAGGATTGGGATGTAATGCAAGAGTCTGATTTGGCATCAACAGGTTAATGTGTTCCAGTACTGCTTCACAAACAAGTGATGGTTTATGAGAATCAAGATCTGAGCATGATAGGAAAACCTAATTCTGCAAATTCTTGCTGTAGAAGTTGTAGAATGAAAAACTGACTTTGGCAACCATATATTATAGTTGGTAATTAAAACACGTCTACTAACAACTTGCTCCTAAATGTCAATGCTCTCTTGAGCATTAATTTGAAGATTAATTTAATCACACTCCGTAAAGAAGACTTGTGTTTTGGCCATTAACATTTGGAAACAAACGTTTTCACAGAACAGATTACATACAATATCAAAAATAGATTTATCAACTAATCAATCATCCTCTGAATTTATGAAGTACAAAAATTCAGCTTACAGCATAGAAAAAAAATATCAAAATGTTTTCTAATCTATCTAGTAGCTGTAACATTGGACTACCTCACATGTGTACACAGGCTCAGAAGACAGTGAAAACAAGACTGCCTGCCTCTGTAGAACATGAATGTCTTCAAGCATGAATTCAGGATTGAATTTTCACAGAAAGGAAGTTTGGAAATGATTTTGGGAGAAAAATAGGAGTCTGAATTTAAGATATTTTTAAGTCCTCTAGTTCATTAATTCCTTTTTTTTTTTTTCCTTTTCATATTTTGGCATATAAAGATGATATAGCAGCTTTAAAAATATTTGGCAAAAATGCTGATTGGTACAGACAGCAAATGCAGCATAAGAAGAATGCAATCTTCGCATTTGCATTTTTTCTTTGAGCACTACTTTGGATTTGCATACATTCCAAAATTCTTTCCTTATTGCTTGAATTACTTAATTGCTGTGGTTTTTATGTCACTGTAATTTTCCAGCAATATTAATTCATGAGAAAAATCATCATTATCTTTTCAAGTTTCCATCTGAATTATTCAAGATAACAATCTAAATCCAGAATTAAAAGAACTGAAGAAGATACCAGCTTTCAAGACAGAACATGCTATGTAGGTGTCACAGTTAAAACAATTCACTTTAAAAAAAAACCCTGATGGATGATATTACTCTACCTGCTAGGTATGTTTGTTCATGCAACTCTGTGATACTTAATAACTCAGCCTTCTGTTGTTGACAGCTTTTCCTTGCCTGATGCCACGTCAGTGCTGACTCAGAGTTTATCTGATATTGGACATTTGTTAGAGGATCTGTATTCCACAACGAATCAATACTATTAACTGCCAAGAGAAAAAGAAATGTTGCAACTGATCACAAAGACTGAGACAGATACAACACAGAATAAATCACTGAGCAAAAATACACACAGCTACGCGCTGCAAAAAAGAACAGGTATAAAAGGAGTCCTTTAATGCATTAGTAAATCCAGGCCTAGGCCAAACCATGACAGCCATGTTGGACAACACACGCATCACAAAACAATACCACATTTTCTCCAAGACAATAAAGCTGCTGTTTAAGATATAAGATGAACAGCTATAGTTGCTCTAAAGTAACTGATTTGTCACCATGGAGAAAAACACTAAGGTCTTACTGTCTCACACTAACTGAAGCCCATAAAACAGATGGTTTCTCTGAGTTAAGAAATCCTCATTTATTTTACAATTTTGGGTATTATGTAAAGTGGCTTTAGATCATCTTACTAAAATAAAGATAATCAGACCCATTGGACTGAAAAATTGAAGCCCCAAACAGTGAGCCAAATATCACTCCATACAGAGAGTATAATTGCATGACAAAAGCAAAATAAAGAAGAGGTCACTATATGTCGGCTGACAAGGGGAAATGTCCTGAAATTCCTGAAATCAGTCTGTATCAGCTCTTTAAGTTGCAAGCTGCAAAAAATTTGAAAGAAAGAGGTCTTTTCTGAATTCAGAGAGCTCAGAAAATCTGTGCGTGTAAATAAGAGGAAAGCAGTACAATAAACAAAACTCAAGACAAAGAGTGGTACATATTAGATGTCAGCAGGTCAGTAACCAGTTCCACTTTTTCCTGTATTAAATCTGATAGCTTATGGACAATATGAAGTGCTTCTTTTCAAATTAGCCTTAGGCAACAAAATAAATTCATAGTATACTCTAATATGGACCTTTGAATAAATACGGAAACTTCAATTCCATTATCATTATTCAGAAAGTAACTTCTACCCAAAGCATTTTATGAACATCAGAAGCCAAAATTTCTTCACTATGCTATGTTCTACAATACCATATGCACAAGCACATGTCTGGGATAAAAGAGAGACTGCAATATTAAAATCTATAATTCAGTAAAGATTGTCTCTGGCCTTGTAGAAAGGATTTTGCAGATACTGTGCAATCAGTAGAAAGAAGAGAAAAAGCATTTAACCTTCCTCTCCCTGTCACTAATTTACAGTTGCATATGAAGCCGTTCTGTAGAACTTTGGTTTTTCATAAAAATAAAGTTCATTTCTTACTCTTCCAATTTTTAGTTCTTCAAATATTTGAGTTCCAGGCAATTAAACACCTTAAGAGAGCAGGATTTGGTAAAATCTACATGGTATTGTTTAAATCTTAATATCCCCAGAGAAACCCAGAGGATTCATTTTTCTGGAATGATATATTTTAGCATCTAAACTTCATTCATGTGAAACAAAACCTGACCTGAGTGCATAACTGGAAAAAACTCAACTTTACACAGACTAATTCAGTATGTAATTTTGTATTACACTGAAATTGGTGAAAATTATTGTTATTAAGAATTATTATCAAGAAAAAGTGTCCTACCAGTGGAAATACCTATTAGAATTGCAATTTTAACAAGTGTTAACAGGACTACCATATGTACTACTTCCACTAAAACTGGTACTACTTCCACTAAATCTGAAAAGACTGGTAATGGACTTCAGAAATTTTAATTTCAAAACTGCAAGCTGAAATTTGGCCTTGACTAGCAGTAACCATAGAAGTGTTCTTATTTGCTGTATTATCCATCCAGAACAAGTTGGAATCTCAGTCCAATATTCTTCGAAACTAAAAGAATAGAATCTTAGTAAATGAGAACTGAATATAATTCTTGTTAGATACCCTATAATACAACTGCTATCTCTTCCTCCCTGACCATACAGTCAGGAAGGAATATACTTAATAATTTATATTATTTTACAGTATTATATACAAAGGCATAAAACTAGGTGTTGTCAACAGTAAAAAAGAAAATCTAAAAAATACTAAATTTCTTTCACATGCTTATCTTCACGTAGGTATATTTTTCTTCAATGCTTCTCTCTTTCTTTTTCTTAAATGAATTTGTGAGGTCTGAAATCAAGTTATGAGTTCCAGCTAAATCAGAAAAAAACAAGACCAATGACTCTTTGTAACTCAGCTGAGCAATTCACAAGGCATTCTGAACTAGACGTAAAACCACGATGGAAAATCCTTCAAAACATCTCAAAACACCAGCGTGAGGAAAAGGCCTGTCATAAAATAAAATAAAGTCAATATTTTTGAATGAATGCACAAATGCAGACTTGCCCAGTTAGATTAATATTCAAGGTTAAAATTATTTAAATGCTTCCTTATTCCCTGCACTCTTTATTTATTTCCTTCTTAGGCAGCTGCAAGTTTTTTTGCACTACTTACAAGTCTTTCAAAATTTTTCAGAAAAATTTCATCCATTTCAACTGTCATGAAAGGGACCTCAGTGGACTTTTGCCTACTGAATACAGCTGCATGTACATCTTATGACTCGTGTTCCTGGTAAAATTACCTTGTGCAACCTTCCTCAACACAAGCTTTAACACAGCAATGGAACACGTAGCTCAAAAAGACATAGCGTACCCAGTAAAGAATCAGTATTTCCTAGGATATTAAAAATTGTCTTGAAGTAGCAGGAACAATTCTCAGTTTCTTCTGTTGAGATTTAAGTTTCATTGTCACTGTACCAGCATTTTTTGAAGCACCATCTGAAAGGCTCAAACTCACTCTATCAGTCAGATTTCCACATTTCTTTTGGGTACAATTGCTTTTAGTACGATCTTAGACCCTCTCATTCTGGACACTAGAGTTAGTTTTGTTTACGGTAGAAAAGTGATGGACTCAATCTGAATTTCAGTGTTTGTCTGAGCTCTAGAAGAAAGAGTTGCAATAGTCTGCATCGCCTACTTTTTATCAGCACCTCTGACCCCCCAGATAGTTTAAAAAAAAAAAAAAAAAAAAAAGCACACTTCTGACATCCTATTTAATAATCTTTAACATACAAAAACTTCAATGTTATATGTTTAAAAAGTGCTTTTGAAGTTTAATAACTTCTCATTTTGTAGTACAGCACAGTTCTCTATTGCAGGGCTAAAACTTTCCTACTCCTGCCTGTCTCTCTTTAAAGCATACGACCTAAATGTGAATATTTTATAGCCAGTACTGAAGAATCAGGAAGGAAGCATGCAGGCAATCAGCATAAAGCAGCTTTTTCCAAAAACAATCTGAATGGATTTCCTTGAATTATGTCAAAGAACTAAACAATTTTTTAATGACACCTCCTATTTGCTTTCCTCTAAGAATGCTAGACAGGTAACAAACATTCGCTGGACTTGCATGTGTTGTATTCATGGAATTAATACTGCCAATATGTTTTCAATATCTTGAAAATAATACTGGCAGAGGAAAATACTTGCAATTTTTATTTCTCTGAAATAATGAACACAACACTCATGGAAATTGTACTTCATACAATAAAACTTCATCAAATCAGTTAAGATCAATGGACTCTGTTTTCTTCACATCAAAGGAAAGAGGAAAGGCATTTTTTTCTTTTGTTCTTAACTGAAGTCAGTTGGAGCTTTAGGACAAAACACAATAATAAAGGGAAGGAAAAATTCCCCCTCTCCCATCATGACAGAAAAAGCAGCAGTTTGTAGACAAAGTGCTTAGTACATATTTTACAGAAGAGAAAATTTATTCAAATTAAACATAATTTCAACATGTCTTCAAATTCACTTAAAGGAATATCAACGTTTCTACGTGAAGTTCTGTATTACATAATACTACAGCTCAAACTCTAGTGGCACTTAAACCAGGGAATTAATAATTTAAATGCTTCTCACTGTTTTTAATTATTCTACTGCAGAACAGTCAGCTACGTAGTATATACATTAAGGAAATACCACATAAGCTCTTTTATATTCAAATGCAATTCATTTCTGAAGTAGTCTTAATTTTCATTTCAGTTATATTCTAGTTCCCACTTTTGCAGCACAAATGTCTATGCAGCCTACAGGATATACTAATGTAACATCCCTACATCAAATTAACTTTCTGTTTGAGTAAATGCTGTAATTACACATTCCAGTGTACAATTCACACACTTTCACCTGGATTTAGTCAAGTTTCTTTTTTTTTTTTAATGCTGAGCCCTATTTTCACATATGTAACTAGTTCCTAAAAGGATAGCTAGCAGTGTAGAGACAGAAAAATACAGTTCTGAATTACATTTTGTAGAGCACATGAAAAGGACAGCAGCATTCCCAGACAGTTGAATAAAAGAGCAAAATAGAATCTTCAATACATGAAACTTACTTTTCAGTGGGCAAAATCCATATCTCCTGTCAACATCATAGTCTGCAGTGGTTCCACACCAGAACCAGCCATCTGCTCTGCCAGCATCTGTGCAGTCAGCATACCACTTATTACCAAATTTAAAAGGGAATACACAAGGTGCTCCCTCAGCATTTCCTCTCACTGTGTAGGTATCTAAGGAGATATGACAGTTTAAAAAAAAAAAATGTGTAAGTGGTAATTTGCATGGGATATACATCAATCCAGTTTTATGATCATATTGGAGTAAGGACAGTTTGCTAGCTTAGTATACAATATGCATTATAAATGGAATGCTGACAATTTTCAATCTGTAGGTGTTATCTGTTACCCATTGCCACAACTAGACCAATTTTCATCACTTAAAGCAGACCACTGGCCAGAAAAGGAGACTACTGACCAGAACTGACTGAGCCAAGACAAACGTATTCCCATGCTAAATTTTACATGCATAGCAATCAAAAGTACAAAATCCATTAAATGAAGCAATTTGCTTTTTAGGCCCAATCACTGATTCTTCTGTTGATAACTCAATTCTGATCATTTTAAACACTATGTCATGTATGTATAAACCTGAAAGCTACACCAGAGAGTATCTTCTTTATGCTATATTCAAATAAAAGCCTTTGATCCAGAGCCATAATACTGTAGTTATTCTTTGTGTAAACCCTAGAAAATGGATCATTCCCTTTCTCTGCCAAAATGCCATCATATCTGTGTGTATATACGTGCATTTTCAAATTTAACTATTTAAAATATCTAATTTACTTATTTAACACTTCAGCACCAGCTCTCAGAGGAATGTCAAACATCTAGAAATGCACCATCAATATACTGCAGCTGAACATATCAAGAGTTAACTGAATCCTTAATGAAAAAAATTATATTTTCTCCCTAGGGATGGAGTGGCAGAGAAGAGGTGAACATAATCAACAGAACACTCTTTGTCTTTCTGTACATATGTAAAAAATCAAAAATATCATTAACTGTTGCATAATAATTGTATGCATGTTCTGAACAACCAAAGACTTTCCTCTCCTTCCAAATGAATCACTGTCCTCTGCCTTGCATGGTTAATTATCTAATTTTTAATGATCATACCTCTGACAAAAAAGCAAAATGAACCCCACAGAAACATAAAACACACTCAAGTACTATAGGTTTTATCAAAGCCCACACTCGCTGATCACCAACAAGACTAAGGTAATTCTCCTACATATCTCCTGTATCGCAATTAGATACAACAGCAGCCAGTTCAAAATACAGAAATTAATTTATAGAACTTTACCTTCATAGCCTCGAGAACACAGATCGTCTTTAGTTCCGTAGACTTTCCACCTACTCCATAAACCAGATCCCTTGTAAAGCATAATATTCCTTTCCTGTCTGTTTCCATAGTTGAAAAACAAATCTTCCCCTTGGATTGCAAAGAGAGTCTCATTTCTGCATTCCCATCGCTGAAGTTCGCTAGCCTTGTCACAAGGATACAGAGTGATCGGAACCCAGTCTTTCTTCGAAGGTACTCCCAAGCACAATTTGAATGCTATGCTCATAAGCTGGTGATCTGAAACCCACCTGAATTTTTGAGACTCATTTTCTTGAACACAAGGAGCAGTAGTCACTGAATTAGAACTCTGAGCCAATACACAGCGCTTGTGTTCTTCATTATATATTAAAAAGATGCTAGTATCTGCAAGACAAAAAACAATGGAATCACTTGGCTTGAAATAATCTTACTTACTATCTAAATGAAATACGAGACTAGATGCTACTCTTGGGGTTGAAATCTCATCATCTGTTCAGCAAAAGAGGACGGGATCCTCCCGTGATCTACAGCTGTTAAAGTGACTGTAGAATACAACTAGTTCAGATTTCAGGACATTTAAACTATTTTGCATCAAAGGAAGAATCTACACTAAAAACAGCAAGGCAGTAGAAACAGATCTAGCGCCTCATGCAGCTTTAAAACATAGAATAAACTGAGGAAAAAAGGCCCAATTGTAGTTCTGTTCCAAACTGCACCCATGGGAGTCAGGGAGAACGGGGAGCATGCACACCATGTGCTGCAGGGCTGGAGGCTGAGCGCTCCAGCAGCTCTGCTTCCTTGATCCTGACTCCCGTTGTGAGGACTACAGAGTAAGTTCTTCAGGCTCTGTTTCTCCATAATGGACAGATCTGCTTTCATCAGTTCTGCTGAAATCCCTGAAGTCTTACAGAATGGGAAAGATTTTTTTTTTTTTTTTCTCCTAATTTACCTTTACACACAAACTACTTGCAGGGTTACAATAGCATCATCATTTTTCTCTCAGCTGCATTCATTGGTGATTTCCTCCTTTCTTACATTTTTCCACTAAGAATGAAATACATGAAATGAAAAACAGTGAGATTTGCCATCAACTCTTAGTGACCAAGGAAAATTTATGAGACTGTTTATAGCTCCCAAAGTTATTTCTCCTCCTTAGTACAATGTACTTAACAACATGCATTTATCCATTTTGTTTCAAACTTGCAATCACTAAAGAAGTTCCTAGCACTTCTTATATGACCTGGATCTACTGCATGGTAAACATGAACTGGTCTCATCCAGAGACTGAGAATTTTTCCTTCTCCTTTGGTCCTCTTGAGATATGTTTTAGGATGACAAATTAATAGTTCTCTAATGTTGCATCTCATAATTTAACAGGTTGATCAAGGCCTTAAAAATGTATTTTAAGTGAGCTACAAGCAAGGGAAGATAAGTACTTATTTATGTTAGTCTGGGATTAAAGCTAATTAAAACACTATTTATTTTAGCATTAGATTACCAAAGTAAGCAAGTTATACAATGCAAAAATACGTAAGGGGAAAACAGATTAACCACAAAACATTTTCCCTTTTCTGCTGATATGGAAATGATCATAAATTACTACAGAAGAAGCTGGGAACAAATAGCCTCTACCTCAGAGAAAGAGCTGACCTAAACTTATCTCACCCATGGGTCAGTTTCCTTCTCCTGTCCTCTGGCTTCCAGTTCACAGGGAAGCATATAAAACTGATGAGCACTGGAGGCACAAATTGTTCCCTTTTGCCAATCAGTTTTACTCATAGACAATACAAGGAAATATATAATTGTCGCTGCTGGTGATAACTTTTTATTCTGCTTTTCTACCAGAGTTTAGCACAACGATACATGCAATGCTTGCAACTCTCCTTTTCCTGAAATCTTACTTAAAGTTTCCGGTTAAAAGAAAACATCAGACTTTTTCACAAGTGTGAAAAACATCGCCTGATCTTTTAAACTGCTAAAATTGTACTTCTGGCCTAACGCAACATTACATATTTTATGCAACTTACGGTCTTAAAGAGAGGGTGCTAGACACGTGAAAAACATAGTCCCAAGTCAAAAGTCTGGGCTGCTCAGCCAAGCCAAAAGCAGAGTGGAGGTTTTGTTTGCAGAGACAATGCCAGAAAGTTGAATAAAGAGATGAGGCTAGGGGAAGAAAAGTAAATATTCGGTCCTCTACATTTTGACTGTACCTTTACAAGGCATTAGCAGCGTGGAAACACAATGCAGCAGCTTATACAAGTAGGTATTGAAAATAAGTTGGCACCCAAACAGGAGGGAAGAACGAGGCAAAAGGACACAGGAGCAACTGTGACCGAGACTGCAGAATTCCCTTTCACTCATAGTCACTCCTGTCATATCCATCACCATGCAGATGATTTGTACCATGGGCCTAGGCTGCTCCAGTTTACAGCTGTACTTCTGTGTCTATTTGAACACCAATATAGATTCCCATATAACACTTTCTTTGTGAGATGTAAGGGAGATATTAGAGAGACTAGAAGAAAATTTAAAAAGTCAGGTATCTGTGCAACACTCATTATACCCTGCCAACACTTCTCTAACTACTTGATATCGCTTCTTGCTAACAGATTGAGCTGCATCTGTCAAATGAGCTGAGCAAAATTATTCAGTTACGTAATTGATAACCAGCAACTAATTCAGAGTCTTAAGCAAACTAACATCTTACCTAGGGAAGGTTGCTTTTCCTACATAAGCAGGACACTTGGAATCTAGAAGCAGAGTCTCAACATTCACAAGTGAAGAAGTACACTGTACTCCACAAGGGTTGATAGCGTTAGCTACCATAAGGTCAAAACAATAATTACAAACTTAGTCAGCAGCCAATTTCTATAAATAATACCTTGAGCAAATAAGGGACCAAGCCTACTAAGCATATGAACTTTTGGCCAGATAGCACCTCCCAGTGGAACCCAACCACCACCAAAGATCCGTTAAAAGAACTCCATAATACATAGTGCATGCATAGCATTGGGTTTTAACGTGTACAGCAATTCTCAGAATAAGCAGGCACTGCAGAAAACGTATGAATATTCACATGCTAAGCGTGAGTGTGTGTGCGTGCGCACTTTAGCTCCTACATGTGCATGCTAGGAGGAAAGATTTTCCCCCATGCAATGAGTACTGCAATAAAGTAATGTCAGCTTTCTAACATGTCATTTATGTTGGTAAGCCTTATTCCCAGATTTCAGTGACATAACCATGTGTTCTATCACTATTTAGTAGAAATATTTGCTTTAGAACTCCCATTCTTCACTACAGATCAGCTACAGGAGGTACATAGGAAGGTCCTCCACAGCATCACCTCAAGTAACACAGTCCCAGTACAGTTTTTAAGGGAGTAACCTGTAATGAAAGTTTCAAAATTTACTTCTGGAAGGAGGTCCTTTAGAACTCATAGGAAGCTGTCAGGCATAGGAACCAACCACTAGAAGTGTACTGGGTCTGACTGGACTGGAATTAACTTTCTCCACAGCAGCCCATACAGTGTTGTGCTTTGCACTTGTAACTAGAATAGTGCTGATATTGCACTAATGTTTAAGCAGCTGCTGAGCAGTGGTTGTGCAGCATCAAGGCTGTGTTAACAGCCTGAGCCCCCAAAGGTCAGGTGGCTGGGGATAGGCACTTGGATGGGAAGGGGGCACAGCCAGGACAGTGAACCTGAACTGGCCAAAGGAATATTCCATAGCAGATGAGATCATGCTTAGCAGTAAAAGCTTCAGGAGGAGGCTGCTCTAGAAGTTGGCCAGATATCCCCACACCCAGTTCCCCTGAGGACTGGGACAAGAGAGCAGCAATGCAGTACTTAGGTATCTGTCAACGTTAAACCAAAACAATAACCAATCCAGAGACATGTAGCATCTTTTCCTTTAGCTGTCCCAAGCAAATCCTGATAGATTTTTTCTCACTAGTTTTTATTTTTCTTTACCCATCATGCTAATGATTTGACTATTGCCAGCCACAGAAAGATTGTGACAAGTATCTTTTGTAGAGATTACATTTTAGGAGTTCCAGTATGCAAAAACAACTTTGGACTTTGTAGTACACGCAAGCTATCATAGATTACATGAGTGGAGATCAGAAAGTGGCTCATGAAGTCAGAGAAACACTAACAGCATCAAAGGCCAACGCAGAATACCCCAGCAGCACACCAAAAGCCAAAGGAAGGGAGAGGGGAAGCAAGGAGGCAGCCAGCAGGATGACTTCTCTTAGCAGACAGCCTGCAATGACTGTAGCTAACTACACAGAACAAGAAGGGTTACAAGCTGGTGTTACGAAACTGTGCTCCAGTAAACCTCAACCTTGACTACAGAGGATGCTGAGGAATGGCAGATGCAAAACTTTCCCTGTATGAAAACAGAGCGCTAGAAATCAGAGCAATTGTCATGTGCAAGCTCCAGCTTTCAACCATAGACCCTATGACACTGCTAACATTCCCAGGACAGACTGATTTGGAGCACCCTAGGATGCCAAAACCCAAAGGGCCCCCGCATGGGGCAACTTCAGCCATGCATCAGCTCAGCTGGGGCAGGGCGCTGCAGGAGTGCAGGCTGCCCTCAGGGTAACGTGGCTGCGGGCTGCCCCCCGACCCTGGGGCTCTTCTCCACCTGCGTGCCGGCTTGCCCCCTCCACGCGTGCACACACACAAACACAAACGCACACATCGCCTCAGGTCAGCCGGGGCTCGGAGACCCCGCTGTCTTCCCGGCGTGCCGTGCACAGTCCCTGCGGGCACTTACCCAGCAGCGGAAAAGCGCCGGGGAGAAAGGCGAGGAGCAGCAGGAGCGGGGCGGGAGCCATCGCCGCTGTGAGGACAGGAGCCCGCCGGGCAGCTCCGCCGCACTTGTGAAGGGCCGGTGGATCGGGGGAAAGCTCTGGGCTCGAAACGATAAGGAAATATCCTGTCACATGGGGTGCTTAGAAATAACAGGAATTCGCTGTTCAAACTTTGCTTTCCTAAGCTGATTTTCCTCAGCGGAGGGAAGAGCCTCCTTCCAGGCACACGCAGGTGATAACGTGGTGATAGCTGAGAGGCGCGCCGGGCTGTTTTCCGCTGTTCTTTTTTTATCCCCTTTGCGACCCTGTCAGCGTCGCACGTGGATCGGCGCTCGCTTTTCCAAAAAAACGAGCCCTGCAGAGGGCGAGGAAGGCCGGCAGGCTCCGACCTGCCCGCGCGGGACAGCGCTCCGCCCGCACCGCCACAGCCCCGCTCCTCCGCGCTGCGGGACGAGGGGAGACCTACTAATGGGAAACCAGGCTTTGGGCCGTGCCCCGTCGCTCCTCCCCCCGGGAGCAGGTGGAAAGTCCCGGCGGGGAAGGAAGGGAGCAGAGAAAGCATCGCTTCCCCAGACGAGTGTACCGGCTTTCCACTAAGATGTGCCAATTTAAGTATCGTTCTGAAGCGGTGCCTTTAAAGCACAGCCGGCGTGGAGGTCTCGCAGCCCAGGGGGACCTCAGCAAATGCCTCGCGTTTTGGGGGCAGCAACACGGCATTGCTTAGAGCCTGAAGTTGGAACGCGGGCTGACGGGTCACAGGTGGATGGAGAGCATCAATCTTACTGCTGTTGTATATACAGAGGCTTTTGTAAAGTTTACTGAGTACAGTAACACCGCAGATGCAGCCTGATGGATTTCAGAAGCACTGAGCTTACCCACGTACGTGATGTGTCCTCTGCTGTCATTCTCGTACCGCCAGGCATTTGGAAACTTCTGGTACATACAAGAAAATTTCAAAAGCCTCCTTGAAGCTTCTGAGTGGAAAAATAGAGCAAGCACTCATGTGAGCTTATTATGCAAGGAGACAGGTCAGAGTGAGTAAAATACGTTTACAGTGTCATTACAGAAGAAGAAACAATGGAGAAAAATCCAAGCTCATTTGAACTCCACAGCAAGGCTCTCCGTAACATAAGTAGGGATGCCAGCCAGCCAACTCAGCCATGCTGAACTCTTCTGTGGACAACTCACAGGGAGTGAAAGAGGATGCTTTTCACAATTTCTTGTGACATCTGTGGATACACATAAAGGTCATGCAGAGCGTGGCCCAAAAACAGGAGGTGGAAAGCAGAGTTCTGTGTCATTATGTCAGTGGATTCTCACCTGGGAAACTTCAACCTGCAACTGATACAAATTCTCTTGCTGCAGTAGATGGCATCTATTTATTATTCTCTAACTGCCTAGAACGACCTTATGCTGAACTAATGAAAGACCCAAGTACTTCCACTGAGGAGATATAGCTAACTCAAATAATCATAGTACAACTTGAAAATGAAGAATTGCCCCATGTTCTAACACTGCCACCTTAGCAACATCCAGGCATTCAAAGTACATTTGAAAAATGCTTTTAGAGGGGAAAAAATATATTTTAAGTCACCTTAAGATCTGTTTACAAGCTTATTTTAATAACAGCAATAACTGGAACCCAAGAAAAGCGTATAGTGCCAGAAGGAACAAGTCACGAGATGGAGAGCGAATACTGCTTTCCTGATAGAATAATGGTATTTGTTAGACCACAACCCACACTTTGGGGAATCCTTGGTATTCTCTTGGCCAAAAAAATCATAGAATTCCTCAGTTTGGAGAAAACCTCAAAATCATCAAGCCCAACCACAACCTGACCATACTACCCTAACTAACAACCCTCCACTAAATCATGTCCTCAGCACCACATCCAAACGGTTTTTAAACACATCCAGGGATGGTGACTCAACCACCTCCCAGGGGAGATTATTTCAGTGTTTAACACCCTTTCTGTAAAGAAGTTTTTCCTGATATCCAACCTAAACTTACCGTGGTTCAACTTAAGGCCATTTCCCCTCATCCTGTCACCAGTGAGAAGAGACCAACCCTGCTCTTGCTGTAAGCACCTTTCAAATATTGGAAGAAAGCAGTAAGGTCTCCCCTCAGCCTCCTTTTCCCCAGACTAAACAGCCTCAGTAAAGAGCAGTAAACAGCAAAGGGACACAATATGCAAAGTTTAGTCTCAATATAATTAAAGTCTTTAGATTAAAAAAAAAAAAAGGGGGGGGGGGGGGCTGCACATAAGTATCAACAGGTGTCTCACAAATAGGCAGGAAAATGGTAGTAAGTAGCATTCCATATCTGACAGCGAGTGGCCATGCCAGGAATGAGGTATGCATGGAAAACAACAGAAGAGACCACATTCGGCCACTCTTGAAGGTTCCCAGGGCTCAACTGGACAAGCGCTTAACAACATGATGCAGTTTTCAAATTAGTCATGCTTCAAGAAGGGAGTCATACTAGATGACTTCCTGAGATCCAACCATGAGACATTAGAAGAGCTCCTACTAAGTCTGGAATTCCAGTTATTCTTGGGATCTTCACCTCAGCAAATTACTTCTTTTCCTGATTCTCCAAAAAAGCCTTTTTCTCATTGCCTCTTGCACACACTGGAGGTACTGCCACTTCAAAGTCATTCCGAAAGTGGTACATGTATATATAAACACAGACATATACACACAATTGTATATATGCCTTGGTGATCTGGATGAGTTTATTCACTCAAATCTCTATGTATCATCTGCAGCATACTGCTCAACAATAAAGTCTGAGTCTGGCTTGCTCCTTGGGAATCATCGCACAACTACATATACACGTTGTATACTCTCCAAGGGAAAGAATTTATCTCCTAGAGGACAACAGGATTCAGCAAAGTCTCAGGCTACAGAGAATTGTAGGCAAATAGTCACCAAATTGGATAATTCAATCTGCTAAATAACTAATGACAGGATACTACTTAAACATGCCCTAGCTAGACATATGTTTTCATCTTTCTCTGTGGGTAGCAAGCCAGCTGTCGTTTACATTTGGAACAGAAAGGCCTAGATTTCTCTGAAACAGGTCTGACCCTCTCCAGTTCTGGCACAGCCAGTACTTGCAACTGGTGACTGTTCCTGGCAAAATACCCTGAAATGTGAAGTCACAGTAGCTCTTGATTTTTGATAGTCAACAGGAAGATGGAAAGTTCTATCTAAATGAAATCATATCCAGACGTGAAATATAATAACCCTTCTTCTGTTTGTTGTTTCACATATGCATCCAAGATTTTTTTTTTTTTGACGTTTCATGTGTGTTTCTGTGTCTCTTAGATGGCATTCAGTAGTTCTTTGTGCATTTCTAACATTTGCGTTGTCATTTATGCTTTTTGCTCTTAAGTATATCTTTAGTACATCTGTTTACATGCTAACATTTGTGATGACATCATTTATCCAGTGCCTATCCTATATTAATAAGCTATATAAATAAGATATAGGGCAGTGAAAAAAAAAAAAAAACAGGAATTGGCAAAAATCAATACTTAATTTTTGTACAAATCTTATTCCTCTGAAATGTTATTCAGAAATTGATTTTGACACTTATAATTTCTGAAACCAAAACAGAATGTTTTAGGAGGTGTAAAGTCAAGGCTTTAATACCTGTTGTCAGACAGCCTTCACCTAGTAAAATCCCCTTGAGAATACCAATATTATTATGTATGATACTCACTTTAAATACAACTAATTCAGACATGTATCTGTGTCTTATATATATTATATATATATATATATATACATACATATCAAAATTTTGAATTCCAGCATTCTGCTTTTAGCACAAAGTAAGAACACAAGAATATCACTTTCCCCTGCATACGTTATAATAGCTTCATAAACATGCATGGCTATTGGGAACGTGCACTCTCGTGACTCCTAACATGTCAAGTTTGGTTTATGCCTCACCCATATTATGAAAATAAAGAGGAATTTCCACACCCTCACATATCTGGTTCCTTACAGCTACAAAAAAGTGTTGCCTGCATAGTTAAAAGCCACGATAAACGCAGCCAGAAGTTAACAGATGTTTAAGGAAAATAAAGGAGTTCCAGATGGTTATTTGCTTTCTATCATCATAGATTCTCAAGAGGCAAAGTACATAAGACCCACGGCTGTAAAACTTCTAGTACATCTAAACAGATTACTTTCTTTGATTCTAATTTCATTTTCCAGGGTATTCTGTTATGTCAGAGATACAGCTAGACATTGGATTGCAAGGACGGGACAGTTTTGTCCAAAGTACAGGTAGGAGGCCCTTAGTTATAAGGTGATCACATCTTCAAATCAGCCTATTAGGAGTCTCTTGAACACAGTCAAGACAGATCCACTTGGAAAAGAATTCTCTCTCTTAAACAAGACATCACTTCAGTGTATACTTTTTTTTTTTAAATCTCAAAAACAGAAACTTCGTAAGACATACATATTTCATAAAAAGACTGCAAAGAAAGACAGCCTGTTTAGAACCAAGAAGGAACATAGCCTTAAATTGGACCATGTTCTATTCCCTCATCTCATTTAAACAGAATCCAAACATACCAAAGATTTTTCTGTTGAATTTTTGCACATGCACTCAGAGGCCTTTCAGCATTAAGATACTGATGTCTGGAAGTTCTGCAGTGCAACCTGCTGATGATTTCTCTCCTACTTATTTCTTTCTGTATTTTTCTCTCAAATGCTTGATAAAGCCATAGGCTGCCATTTCTAATTTATTTAAGTGCCAAAAGTCTTTTAGTAAAACTACTTTTTAATTAACAAATTGAATACACATTTTTAATCCCTTCTTAACTTTACAAGTACACCAGTGATCTCCACAAGTTTTCTTTGTGCATAATACTACATGCAGTTGAAGAGTCAAAGTTCAGTATAATTTGGAACTCAGTAGGAGCTGAGCAGAGCACAGCTTGAAGTTAATACAATGCCATAACACTTTGATAGTAGTTTCTGCCTTTGTATTGTACGCTCCATTCTAGTTATTTACCATGGATGAAAAGAAACAGCAGAAATGTGGTAGATCACACATGGAACTAAGACCTTCAAAAAGGATGAGGAAATTTTCCTTACCAGGAAATTCTCTTTACAGAAATGAAACACAGAAGTGGAAATATAATACGGAAAACTAAAAGAATAAATACAGCTGC